GTTATGAATGTTATAGATTCCAGCCTAAAATTGTTATATATAAATCTTTTAGGGGAGGTTTAAATATATGAAAAGACAATTAGATGTTTAATTTACGACTAAGACTGTATGTCTACTAACATTAAGTATTGCAATCTACAACGGCTACTGATGATTTTCAACTTGATAATGCTAAAAAAACCTACCAAACTATTTTGTTTAGAACATAAGTTAAGCTCTATATAATTTTTACAGTAGCAAATAATAACTTAAGGTTGTATTTGTATGTAAGCGGTCAACCTAAGGTGCAGGAATTTGAAATGAATGTAAGTTAAGCAACGAATTATCTCCCATTTGGAAATCCAAATAACACAATTTTATTCAAGGGAAATAACTTTCACAAAAATTGCTAAATTAACCAAGTGTAACTAAGCCATGTTTGAAAAACACAATAAAATGTTCTAAATTTCATTATTTAATATTTATAACAAATCTTTTTTATTATCTATGTAACCTTGTGAAAACAATACCTTTCACCTATTGATTACTTAACTGTATGTTTAGTTTGAAAGTCTAAAAACGGTAGCTTTATTATAACAAACTACTATTCAATTTTGATGACATTCATGTACTCATGGATAGGATGATCATTCATGCAATTCAAATATAAATATTGGATACTTCTGACACTTTCATTTGACCTTCACCCCTTTTACTGTCATCCTTTGCAATTTTTTTTTATAATCAAACGAGCCGGCCCGCGGCATAACATACGCCGCTATTTAGTTGTTTCTAATTTTCAATAATTCATAATTTGTGAATTCGACAGTACCAACGCTGACACTGAAAATATTTCTTTAAAACACTATAAGTAGCTCGTTAAGGACCATAACCCCCCCCCCCTTCCTTCCTCCCCCCTCCCCCCCCCCCCTACGTTTAAAATCGTTGGCTCTGCTTGTAAACATTTAGAGTGAACACAGCTCACTAAAACCATGTAGGGGTGGGGAGGTAGGGAGAGCGTTTGCAGCTTGTTTTCTAACGGCTCGAAGAGGAGAATTATATATATAGATACATGACATCATGTAAATATTCATTATGTACATTTGCAAAACCTTTCGTTTTCATTTGGTGTTCAAAATTATGTTAAAAAATTTGATGTTGATGTACTTGTTTTAATTGCAAATAAAAGTATTAAAAAAAAAAAAAAAATGGATGTCTTTCAAAAAATCAAACATGGATATCCCTTTTAGACATAGCTAGAATTATTTAGACATAGCTAGAATTATTTAGACATAGCTAGAGTTATTGATTAAATGTAAAAAAAAATAATTTGAAAAAAAAAACCAACAGTTTACAGTTTGTTATAGATTCCATCCTATTTAATAGATATTAATACGTTAAGAGTGGTAATATAGATTTCATAAAAAACTAAAGATTTTTCAACTAGAGAACGCCTACCTTTCTTTCTAGTGTGTTCCGTCCTGAATTTAAGTAATTTAGCTTACGATAAACTCGACTACTCGATATACTCTACTACATTCACAACACATATCAAACCTCGATACCTAAACATAACTAGACTCGATGCTCCAGAACTACGACACCAACTGGTTTACTTCACCAAGCTCTACAAAATGTTACTTCCAATCAACGATTTTACTGGACCTACTACTTCACTTTAACAGTCAATATAAATCGATACCTTAATACCATAAGAATCAATACTCCAGAACTATCATACTTCATCACCTGCATTCTCATTTCTCTACTACCAATCGGATTCCACTAGACCTTCAACAGCACAACAGCCAAATAAAAAATACGACACTTTAACACTTAGATACTTTATACCTACGAAACCATATAAGCAACAGCCTTCCGCCATTACTCCCAAATCTAAACGAGTCATCAAAACTTACCAAACAAGTGACAACACTTTGAACACCCGTCATTACAAAACTCTATACACCAGGACAGATTTCTAATTCAAAGTCAGAGAAAACGAGACTAAGGGGTCGTCCATCAATGACGTCACACTCGTAACAAGGAGGGGGGGTCCATAATTTTGTGACGGTGTGTGATGAGGAGGAGAGGGGGGGGGGGTTCAGATGGTGCGACGTCACACTTTTAGAAAACGAATTTTAGACATTAATTCGCGTTTTAGACAACTGTTTTAATAAATTGTAATAGGAATTTATTAAAATACTTTATTTTGACAGAGTTCAGACAAGATTTTGGAAAAATATCAATGTTTAAAAAAAATTCAACTGCAATTTTGAGGGGGATTGCAGGCTGAGGTGTGACGTCATTTTAGGAAGGGGGGTCTGGCTTTTTTGTGATGATGTGTGATGGAGGGGAGGGGGGGGAGGTAAAAATCGTCAAAAAAAGCGTGACGTCATTTGTGGATGACCCCTAATTTAAATTACGAACTTAAAAATGTAACGTTTTTGTTCTCGTCTATCAAATGTACTATTCTTCCTCTGTTACTCGCTCTCAGTCACAGACGATCAAAAATGATGAAGAATAAGTCGTCTTCTGCAAATTTTTGTTTGACTATCTTTCTTGAGCGGGAATTGTCTGTGTGTAGCAGCGCGCATAAAAAAAAAAGACTATAGCGCCAACACGCGTGATCGTTTCTTACATGTGACACCAAATTAAAAAGGCAAAGTGACTGGTAAGAAGCGCCCTGACCTTTCCAAATTAGGGAGGTGGGGTTGGATTTTTATCAAAGCGAATAAATATAAGCCTATATAGACCTAATTTGGGGGTGAGGGTGCATAATAGATAGTTCGTCCTGGGCGCCGAAATAGATCGCTACTCCTTTATAAAAGTTATTCATTATTAGGTACTTTTTGATATTAGCGATTAAACCTTTTGCGCCCCCTCCCCCAGGGATGGCGCCCTAGGCGACCGCCTAGTTTGCTTTATAGGTAGCGCCGGCCCTGATAATATGATAAAATGATACGTGTTCGACCATAAAAGTTGACGCTTAATATTTTAACCGATTAGTTATCCATCATGTATGATGTCTACAAATAAATAAATAAATAAATAAATAAAAAACTTCATTGTTCACACGCGACCACTTAGGGCGACACCTTCCCACTAACGATTTATACGTCCAAAATTGAAATAGAAAATATATAAACAACTTTATACTCCTAGGAGGGTAGGGGAAAGGGGGGGGGGGGGGGGGGGAATTCGATATTTCGTGACGATGTGCGACGAAAAGAGAGAGAGGGGGGAGGGGGCAAAAAAGTGCGACGACATACTTTTGCATTTAAAAAATTAATGTTAAAAAATGAAATGTAACCGTAATTTCACTTTTTTTTTTAAAAAAAGGCCTTTTTGATCTAGCTAAAAATATTTAGTATGAAATGGATTTTTAAAGAAAATTAAAGCTCTAAGGAGTAGGGATGTATGGTGAGGTGTGACGTAACGTTAAGGATAGGGGGTCTGGCTTTTTGTGCCGATGTACGATGATGAGGAGGGAGGGGCAACCCTTTAACTACCTTTAAAAAAACTCGAGCTCTGCTTTTGTACACATGTTACATTACGCAGTTTCAAATAAAACATAATAATTTGAAATGGAATTTGGCTGTTATACAAATACATTGCTAAATCTGGGCGGAATTTTTTTTTACAAAACACGAACTAAATGAAAAGCAGATTGAAAGGAAGATATTTTTTTAATTAGCAAAAATATAAAGGCCAAATTTTAATAAAAATTCAAATCAATTTCATTTTTGAATAGCATTTTATAGATTAAAATACAAAATAATAAAATCAATGAATTAAAAAATCAAGGATAAATAACTTATAATTTAAAAATTAAATAAATTAGTTCTAAACAATCTATTCGACTCAAATTTAAAAAGGTATTATTATTTTTTTGAAAAAAACTGAAAATCAAATTGAAATTATTTTCATTAAAAAATCACCACTTAGAGACAGTTTTCTACAATTAAAAAATTATAAAATATGGTCAACCAAGGCCGCCTTTCTCTTTGAGTAAAGAATAGGCTAGATCCAGAGTGACCATGATGGAAAACAGGATATATTAAATTAATATTAATTATACAAGTAATTTACATGTATATAATAAATGTATATATCATAACATTATTTACAAAACAAGTCAAAACAGTATTTTACATATATTGACTGAAGTGTAAAAAATTTACAGTAACAATTTTGACCCCATAACTGGAGATTTCATAAACGGTAATTACCAAGCTCATCTGTTAAGAATGGTTAGAAAAAAGATGTTATGGAATTTTGCAACCATCACCATTTTAGCATAGATCTAAATACCTTAAACAAAAACAAAAAGAAAACGACAACTAAAAAAAAGATCCTCTAAATTGACGTGACAAAGCTCCACTCAACCACCCCTCCCTAAAGTATAGCTAATTCCAAACGAAAAGTTTACATTTAAATTTTTAAGAATGGCACACTGTATGCTGAACACATTTTTATCCACATGCATAAAAAAATCCCTTCCCTAACCTCACTATTTCCAAGTCACAATGTGCATGAAACCCCTCCATTCTTAGAGTTCTTTTTTAAGTATAAAAGAAGAAAGTAAATAACCAATTACATGGTTTAGGCCTTTGAGGTTAACTTTGTCTCGTTTGAACAAACGTTGAACAACCCAAGTTTAGTGGTAAATTATAAGTTACGTCCCTTTACAATACTAATGATGTTGGCATTAACATAAGGATCAGACTAAAGCCCTGCTATTTCATAATTGTCAATAAACCATCAATACATGTGTTTGAATGTATGAATAAAAAATTGGAAGAATATTACAAAATAACGTTACAACTCATGTTGCTTACGAAAAATAAGTACATAAACATATTATGAATAAAAAATATGTACCTACACTACTTTATTTAATTAAGTAAGAATATATATATATATATATATATATATATATATATATATATATATATATATATATATATATATATATATATATATATATATATATATATATATATAAATGTCTTAAAAATAAACTTAATTTTAAATATTTCTTACTACATATTTTATAAGAACAATATCACCTGATCACTTTAATACTACACACATTCTTAAATAGCTAAGGACGTTCATTAGATAACACTAGGCATGCTGCCCAGCTTTGCTTAGGCTTTCGAAAACATTGAGAATTTGAATGCTTAATTAATTCGCCCGAGGGTCGGTCTACGACCTCAAGAGTTTTGAAGAGGTTCCTCCGTGGACATTTTTTTTCGATTTATAGCTCATATAAGGTACCGGTCAGTCGAGGTCAGTTTTGACCCCTTCATCGTAGACTTTTCGGCCAACCGGCCCCCGTGCTCTGTCGCCCCAAGGCAAGATCCTGCCAAATTTGAAGCGCCTGCGGCGCCGGGAAGTGCCTTATCGGACACCCGACAATCTAGATCTAGATCTAGAATCCTAATTGAATTTTTTTTTTAAGTTTAGTCCGAGCAAAATAAAAAAAAATACATTAACCAAGTTGACTTGGTGGGTCTCGAACCCGCACCACCTGCGTAGTTTATAGTACACTAACATCTCCGCTATTTAGGCACCTTATAAAATACAGAGAATGAAAGACGTATTTTAAAATCTTAACTTACGCGAATATGCCTATTCTTTCAAATTAATTTTTTTTATCCCAAATTAGCCAGTTCCAAACAAAGATTTTGTATAAATAAATGTTATGAGTTTAGGCCGGAAAAATTGTATTGTATACATTTCATAGTGTACGTAGATCTAAATCAAATTTGAATGAAATAGTTCATTTCTTTTTTATTCTTAACACGGCAGATGACGTCATTAGTAAGCAATAGTGACGTCACAGTTTCATGCGTTCTTTTTCACATCCATTAATGCTTTTCCGGTTGCATAAATAATACTGTTTCTCTACATTCGAATACGCCTTTATTTTTTATTTTTCTTCTTTAAATAAAATTGTGGTTATACATTTAAAACATCTAACATATTATTTTCAACAAAAGTCCGTATAAAGTTCTCCATATATCGCTGCCGTTTCTGACGTGATGTCCGGCGAAAATATTTTGCGGACAGACAGAGAGAGAGAGAGAGAAGAGCGCACACAGCCTTTTATATATTAGGATTATAAATAAATGGTTTTTGTAAAGTTTGAAAAATAAATTCTGAGTCAGCTATTTCAACCTGATTTATAATAAGGCATAAAATAATGTAAGTTATCTCACATCAGTGTATTATAAACAACAACAATAAATTTAAATCTGAGGTTTAGACTAAAGATTAAAAGGAATGTTTTCTTTGAGAAAATGTGGCCAAACAATAAATTTAAAACTTTAAATTAAGTTTAGAAAAACAATAAAATGAATGTTTTCTTTGAGATCGTAAGGTGGCTAAATTTAGTGTTTTTGTAGAAGTTTCTAAATCAAGTCAATTGATTTTTGAACCTCCTGAAAAATTTCGTCTCTATTTCTATATAATAATTATTCCTATTGATTAGCTGATTAAATTCCAGAATAAAAAAAACATGGAGAACAAATCCGATGGGTTTAGATATCTGTGTCATCAAAAGTGCTCAGTCTGACATGTTTGGGATCTGTTGGGTCATGGGGCAGATCATCCTCTGAAAATGGAGACAATAAAAGTGGTAAAAGTTGTGTTAGAAATGTGTAACTAGACAAAGATTGTTCAGAATTAAAGTGTTAGAAATATGTTAGCAGAGAAATATTGTTCAGAATTAAAGTGTTAGAAATATGTTAGTAGACAAAGATTGTTCCAAATTAAAGTGTTAGAAATATGTAACTAGACAAAGATTGTTCAGAATTAAAGTGTTAGAAATGTGTTAGTAGACAAAGATTGTTCCAAATTAAAGTGTTAGAAATGTGTAACTAGACAATGATTATTCAGAATTAAAGTGTTAGAAATGTGTAACTAGACAAAGATTATTCAGAATTAAAGTGTTAGAAATGTGTAACTAGACAAAGATTGTTCCAAATTAAAGTGTTAGAAATATGTTAGTAGAGAAAGATTGTTCAGAATTAAAGTAGAGAATGACTGCTTTACCAAGGTAAAAAATGACGGTGTATACAGAGGTTATAGTATAACATAGTTAAGAGGAAATAAGGTAGCTCAATTTACAGATTCTATATTTTATCAATTTTAAATTCAGCTCCGTTTTTTAATTACAATGAATAAATTTATACTAAATTAAATTAATGTAAAAAACTGTACTTTTTACATTGACTAATAAGGATTATGGTTGTAAAAGTTATAGCATGTCTACACTGTTTAAAAATATAATAAGAAGCCAATCGGACGTACTAGTTCTTTTTTTATACAAGTGACTGAAATTAATTAAATGGTTGGAGTGAAAAAATCTATAACAAAATATTTTGTGTGCCCATTTATTGTGCACTGAATAGCAGTTTTATAATTTATGAAAAGTACTTTATCTATTAGGTATTTAGTAATTGAATTGTCAATTGGATACCTTTACTAATGTTAAGGAAGACACCCAAGCTTTTCTTTATAGTTATTTAAATAGTAAGTCTATAATTTATTTTCTACTTTTTAGTGCATCATTACATAAAAGCTTGTTATTAAAACGTTTTTTATGAATTTTTTTTTCAGTACTTTACATGTTTTATCTACAATAGAGTTACATGACTAAAAACCATTGCGCGCCTACTGAACATCACGTTCAGTAGGCGCGCAATGGTTTTTGAACGCAGCCATTACGTGATGGCGCAGCTATTGAAGGTGATGACGCGTGTGGTGTGGTTGGCTAGACATGCCTACTAATTCGGTCCAAATTTTAATTAATTCATAAAAAATTAATTAGGCATCCAATTAAGTCAAATTTAGTTTCAGATTGCATTGTCTTCATGTCTTGACCCACGTGCCAAATGTGAATCGTATCGGTCAAGTAGAACTGTCCGAATTTTCACTCCTGCGTTTCCGTCTAGACTGACGACAGAGGAAGTGAGTTAAATAAAAGCTTGTAAAAACAAACAAAAAACCCAACCAATTCTCGAACATTTTACTCACCAGATAATGAGGAAAAACTTGAACATTTAGAGATTGTAGAGGAATCATCTTTGCTTTTGTCGATTTCTTCATATATTTTTTCTGTTTTGTGTTTTCAAAATGACAGTTATTTTCTCAACATAATAGCATTTGCAATCATATAATTAGAGGTTAAAATTATGTTTAAAAAAATGAAAGAATAAAAACAAGCAATAACAGGTATAACTGGTCGGTTTTCATGTTGAAATAATAATTATTCTGTTTAGGCCCTATTCCTATTGGAGAAGTTTTTAACTAACACGTAATAAAAAAGAGGGGTACACAGTACATTGGTAGCATTGCTCTACTTTCAATCAAGATATCAATACCAATATTTAAATATTATACTAGTCTTAGCCCAACAACAGACATTCCCTCTCCATACCCTAGCTATACTAGTGAACCCACTAACATCTGTAATTCTATACTGTGAAATTTTTGTGTGTGCCAGTGGTTACATTTGTATTAGTTCTATTTTTTAAATAGCTAGTGATTGGTCAAAAGCGAAGCCAAAATATTATATTCACAAACCTTCATTATATCTGTTTTGGCTGGCAATGTCATTTAGTGTAGTGTAATGGTTAGCTTCAGCTCTCACAGGTTTGGCTTGCAGACTTGGCACTTGTAGTGTGGGGGTACTGCTTGTTATCCTAGAGGGGCTACATACAAAATAAGATATATAATCACAAATGTTAAAAAAATAAAAAAATAAAAATCACAGCACACAAAGGACATAATTCTACTGTATTCCCCAAAAGAAATTCTCACAAAACTGGAACTTAAAATTTATATGCCAAAAAAATAAAAATTATTAAAATAGAGAGAGATAGAGACAGATTATGATTATTATTAAAAATCTAGATTTATATTTGGATTTTTTAAAACGCATTAAGAACCTAATGATATAATTCAGCAGATATTAACAGGGTCAGTATTTTATAGTGTAGTGTATCAGCTAGTACTTTAAGTAGGTATGTCAAACGGCCTTAAAAACGTTTTCGCACGCGTCACCCAAATGTAGTAGATTTTCACTTCATAGTTTCTATAATAAAAAGGGCTTGTATAGCAATAAGCTTGGTACGATTAGGAAATACATTTACGCCCTCTAATTCTAAGTGACTTTATTGTTACATAATATATCTCATTTACCGATTGAAAACTATCACCGAGATGATTTTTCAACGGCAGTCGAGCAACGGATTTTGACTTCTCTCCCTTTCAACTCGCGGGCATTTTTTTGACCATTCAACGTATTACTTTACAAATAGGGCTGGTAAGTAGGTCACCAACCAGTTCTACGGCTCAATAAAACCTGCATGAGCCACAGGACTGGTTGGTGACCTACTTACCAGCCCTATTGAGATTATGCTTTTACAGATATAACCTCTCATACATGGCACCTTTTTAGGGTGTTGAAAAAAAAGTTAAAACCAACTTTTAAAACGTCATAACGTTTTTACTACTTGAGGTATATGGACAAATTTAGTACCCACTATCTAAGAATCATGAGTTCTTGACATAGCAACTTAAAAAAAAAAGCTCTGGTACCATTTAAAAAATCATTTTGACACCCCTACTTTAAGTTGATACTAATGTAAAAAAAATATTTCATTACAGCTTACACGTGATGTTAATTAAATAAATGAATAAATAAATAAATACATACAGTTTTGGTGGTTTAGTCTCGTCAAATGTGTGAGTATAGACGCCAGCTTTAACATGAAATGGACTCAGTAAAGACAAGGGTGGTACAGGGGGTGGAACTTCCTGCACTCCATGGAAAAGATAGATATACAATTTAGATTTTTACATTTAAAAAAAAATAGGAGCTACTATATATATATATATATATATATATATATATATATATATATATATATATATATATATATATATATATATATATATATATATATATATATATATATATATATATATATATATATATATATATATATATATATATATATATATATATATATATAAAGCCAAAAGTTGCTTTGACACTAGTATTTTATGATCAGTTGCTTGGTCTAAACTCATTTAAAAGATTCTAGAGTAAGGTTTTGATAACAGATAATAAGATTTTTAAAAATCATCTTCCAAAGATGGCGAGGCTACTTGAAGATGAGGATTTGTTTAATAGTGCTATTTAAAACTGGTAGTTAAAACAACTGTATTCATAAGTCAGAAAGTGAAAGTCATAAGTCAGAAAGTGAAAGCTACTTACAGTTAATGTGTCATTTTGTCTTTGCTTGGACCTGTGGGAATTTTAATAAAATTTTATTGAACTATAGGTAAAGCAATAGTTTACTTTAAATATTAATTGACACTGTCTTCAACAACAACCAAAAATAAACTCTAATGTAAAAATCTCAAAAATGTGTTATATCTTGTTGTGTTGATACATAATGTGGTTAACCTTACCTCCTCCTGATGAAACAGAGGAGTAGCACCACGAGCAGGATAGCTATGAGACCACCAATGACTATCAGGGCAATGACCCACACAGAAAACTCAGATTGCTTCTGAAATTAATTTAAAAAGCTAGTTTGAGCTCAAATACATTATTTCATTTTAAATTAGTTAATAAATCATTTAGAATTGGTAGAAATGTTTTTATTTTGTTTTATTAAAATCATAGATTCGATTATTGTAAAAAAACCAAAAACACCTTAAGTTCAAAACTCTTAATAGTTTTAAATTTTTGCCATATAATTTAGTAGACTATTATCACATATTGAATTGTGCACAATTGTATTTACACTTGCAGTTTCTATAAAATAAAACTATTCGGGCAAGCTCTGATAAAAAAAAAAATTATAGTTTTTAAAAAATTTGTAATGGGATTTTTATTTAAGATTTATCTCCCATAAAAAATAAAGTCTTAACTCCCAAGTATATTTGTAATGAAATTAAGAACATAATATAGTCTATAGTCTAGGAAAAAGTAGTAGGCCTATGTGCATTAATTAATATGAAAGTTGACAAAAAGCACAGATGTGACCTTACCGTTGAGTAATGTTGTTCTGATAGTGAGCCTACTGAAGTGCTATCTGTGGTGGAAGATAATTAGGAAATAAGTGAAAGCAATTTATAATTTTATAGATATTTTGTAACTTTTAAGGCCATGAATTAGCTTAGATCTAGAGTAAATATTGTTTTGATTTTTTTTGCCAGCTTTATGGATTCAACAAATATTGCTTTGGCTTAATTATGACTCATACATTTGTATATACTTTAAATATAGTATTTAATTTTGTACTTATATTAAATAGTGATTTAAAGCCTTATAGAGTCAATTAAATTTCAGGTCAACTAATATTTTCAGTTTCAAATATATGTAAGTTTGTATTTTAAAAAAAAGGCCTACCCATATGTGTTGTGCTAACTATGGTAGGCAAGTTTGTAGTGGTCTCTAGGGTAGTGGTCTCTGGCATAGTGGTCTCTTCAAAAATATCTTCTGGTGTAGTGGTGTCTGGTGTAGTGGTGTCTGGTGTAGTGGTCACTGTGGTGGTTGTCTCTGTGGTACAAATAAATATGGTCTCTAAAATCAGTTCATGAATTCTCTGATATGATTGGGATTGCAAGTTTTTACTATACATCTTTATACATAATAGTTAATGCTATAGGCTAGAAGTTAAAACCTGAGTGTTCTTCAGAACCTTAAATATATCAATTATTCAAAGGGAGTTGTATGTATATAATTTTAAAAAAATCAAATCATTCATGTATTAAAAACTAGACTAATACGGCTAGTCCCCCCCCCCCCTCCCATCTTCCACTTTTAATATCTTGATTCAATTTTTAGAGTTATCTGAGTTGAGAAAAACAGAGACGTAGCTAGGGGAAGGCGGGTGGGGAGGCCGCTCCGGGCGCCGATCTTTTAATGGGGAGCCGAAAGGGGTAGGAAAAAATTTAAACTGACCTAGCTTTACGGACTTATTGAACTGTTTTCTACATTAGTTGTTTAACACCAACAAAAAAACCGTTAAAGGGACAATGACTGGGGGAGAGGGGGGGGGGGGGTTAAGTTCTGCCAATATGAATAACTATACAACGGGGGGGAGGGGGCTTTTTGCCAATGTGACTACGTATATGAATGGGCGGGGAGAAGGGAGCAAAGTTGATAGTTCATACTGGGCGCCAGAATAGGTCGCTACGTGTGTAATGTATCAAACTTTGAGAATTTGTGTGTAGAATGGGCCTCACACTGTCTTGTTAAATAAATCAAATATTCACTTGCCTTGAGGTGTGGTTGTAGAGGAACTCAGAGGTGTGGTTGTGGAGGTTGTCAAAGGTGTGGTTTTCAGAGGTGTGGTTGTAATTATAACATTTTCACACAACATTCCAGTGTAGGACTCCAGGCAGGTACAGGTGAAGGTAATTCTTGTTGGGCTGGTAGTATATATATAATGATAATAAAAGTGATTTAATATATATATATATATATATATATATATATATATATATATATATATATATATATAAACATACATATATACATATATAGAGAGAGAGATAGGGAGAGAGAGAGAGAGGGAGAGAGAGAATGATAAAGAGAGTAATTATAAACTAAATATATACTTTATATAAAATTTGCTCAGTATTTTATTGTGTTAACTTATATTTTGGACGTTATTAATTGAAGCATTCTATTTAATGGCAGAGTGGAGGTTCAATAACAATAAAATCATGACTCTTTTAGGCCAATCAAACACGCATTCAGTCTAAAAATTTCAGCTGTCAAAAGTGAATTTAAAAAAAATTTAATATTGACTTGCCACACATCATTTTCCATCGACTAAAGTACATGTATGCAATCTCTACTTTATGAATGCCTTAAATATATTAATAGAAATCCAACTCATTCTTTGACTCGTCTACTTCCAAGTTTCTAGTTTTTAATTGACCAAACTCACTCGCTGTTACAAAGTCCGCCATTCAAACATGGCTGACTGTTGCAGGGGTTTTTCCGAGTCTCACAGTGATCTCCCTCCCACCCTGCAGGACACCTGCACAGGTAGGTGTACTCTGTGGGGTGGGCGTAGCAGGTTCCTCCATTCAGGCAGGAAGTTGACAGGCACGGGTTCATTAATATTGAACAGTCTTTTCCTGCAGCAATAATTCATCAAGAGTGCAGGTTATTTTAAAATTTAATGTCACAGGCAACTTGAAAATGTTATATTATCCATGCAGCAGAAATAATAATAATTATATATATATATATATATATATATATATATATATATATATATATATATATATATATATATATATATATATATATATATATATATATTAATATAATATTATGTTCTTAAAATAATTAATTTAACAAAAAAAAAATTAGAATGTACAGTTATAACATCCTTTTATGCTTTAAAATTTTTTTTTAACGAAATTTTAAAATCTAAAAATAAATTGTAACAAAGGGACGCAACATATTCCAAATTTAAATGTATCTATTTAAATGATGTAGGCATATATATTTAACATAAATAATATTTTTACCTGTGTAATGTTCTGGACAGTCGCACCTGACGTCACCAGGTAGGTTGGTACAAACCCCCCTCTTACAGAACCCCTGCTGGCACTCATCAATGTCCTCATTGCAGTTAGCTCCCGTCCAGCCTGTGGTGGGGAATTGACGTTGCAATCATTTAAACTAATTGGTTTAAATTAAACACATTTGACCTATTCTACTAATGAAAGCATCTCTCTGATATTTTACACGTTAATGATCGCCAGTGTACACATTAGCAGCTAGGTCTGTCTACAAATTAGAATAATTAAAGCTCTGATGGGCACCTAACTTACATTAGGGAAATTATAATTATGCGGCTGGGCGCATTATCCCTTTATACATCGAGGTCACTGAAACAGGTGAGCTTTACTTCATCTGCCCTATGGACCGTAATGTTCGAAATGATACTCTAGTTGCTACTCGCAAATATTGAAAATTACAAAACAACTGTAGGTAAAAACATGCACGCATCGTCTTATTTTCGTTACAAATTGACCACTGCATTTTCGGTTTGGCCAACATTTTCCTACCTGGCAAACACATCTTTTTCCCTGTGCCATCCTGGCACGTGTAGTGGCCAGTTGATGTGTCTTGAGCCTTGCAGTACACGTCACAAGACCTGGTGTAGTAGTATGTGTCACAGTACAGACGGATTCTGAACTGTATCCTGTAGAAATTTGTCTTTCTGAATCAAACTACTTTAACACAAATGTCTTTGGTGGCAATTTATAAACTTTGTTTTAGAAGTTGAAGTAAAATAACTGTTAAGGCACAGTTGGTTTTATATTATAAAAATGGCTACACTTGTTAAATTTAAAAGTATATTTGATTGCGAATCACTCATCACTTAAATCTATATTTTTATACTAGCATCCAATATAGCAATTAGTCAACCCTACTTTGACCCCCTCCCCACCCCCGTACCCCACCATTACTTCAAATATGCAGGTTTCATGCATTTTTTCTCGGGGAAGGGGGGGGGGGGAGATGCGGAACGAACGAATGTTAAAGTACATATTTTCTATATAAACTTTATATTTGTTCTATTTCATCTGGAGTGGGGCCTATGACGTTCGCATTCCACCCCACCCCCCAGAGCGATACCAGAAAGTACAACAGCACCCAGGCGGTAACTTACGTGTAGCCGCCGCTACTCATCGTCTGCGAGCTCCACTGGGCCAACTCTTTGGTCGCCGCCACTGTGGGCCACACGGTCTGGCTCAGGGTTTGAAGGTCATCGTCCCAGAACGTGTCGTCATCAACAATCTTCACAACCAGCATCACAGACGTGTCCTGGGAATAAAGTTTTAATGTCATCTTTAACACACAACCAACTTCACAGACGTGTCCTGTGGATACATGTTTTAATGTCATCTTTAACACACAACCAACTTCACAGACGTGTCCTGTGGATACATGTTTTAATGTCATCTTTAACACACAACCAACTTCACAGACGTGTCCTGGGAATACATGTTTTTTTTTCAATTCCTAGACTCAGTGGCATTTTTAGTCCGGTGACACGGAATGCGATAACTAGTATAAGTAACAATAAACATGATGGCACCCATCTTGGAGAGTGTCAACGAGTATTTGAAGGTTTTTTTTACAAGTTTTAAAATAGTTTCATCATATTTTGTTCATGTTTATGTAAAATTGGAGGGGGACTATCTCCTTATTACGTGTTAACCTGTTGACTTCGACTTAAGTTGCTTTTCTTTTCATGATTTGCTTCAATAGTTTTTGTCCAATAAAAAAAAAATCACAAAGCAGCAGTTGCTTAATTTTTTTCCCTCCTATATGGATTGCTTCCCCTAATTACGAGCATCACTTGCTGAGATTCGAACACTGGACTTTTGGGCTTTACAATCATGTGCTTTCCTGCCCAACCACATCTTCCCCAGGAATAACTTCATGAATTTGAAAAAAAAAGCACATTTCCTCAGTATAATTAGAATTTGTACATGCTGTTGTCACCTCTCTAATGGTGCTAGCCTAACTCTTAACCGTTTCTTTGAGCGTCCTTGCTCGTTGACATGGTTCGCCGTAATTGTTACCATTAAACGGGTAAATAATGATAAGAATCGTAACTATGAAGCATAGAAAAAAAATGAATTGTAGAATAGAAATGATTTGAAAAAAAAACGGTCTTTGTGAATGTGATGTTCCTGTAATATAGCTACAAAAAATATAATTATTCACAACATTTGTTGCGATAATTAAACTTCCTCTTGGGGCGACATTTGACGTGGTTATCTGCCTTTATAACGAGATTTAATTATTGCAGTTGCGTCCCTTTGATGGATTTGATTAGAATTTAAATAAACTTGACACAAAAGCACGAACTCCTTCCCAATTCATTTGATTAACACGTTATTAAAAAAAAAATACAATGTTTCGTAAACCATACAGGTTCGAATAAAACGGTACCTATAATTCCTATAGAATGAGTGCTTAAAAAAACGAAAGACAAATGCGAGCTTACATAGAACTTGGGAGTGGACAAGATCCAAGGGTTGCTGAGACCACGAATGCTTCCCTGGTTCTCGAAGTTGATGTAGTTTTGGTCCTGGTAATGTCCACCCTGGCCGGTCAGTCCGTACACACAAGCAGAGGGACTCAGAGAGGGTCTGTGGACAATAGGACGTAGATCAGATAGGTAGATGTTAGTTTGTAGAAGGTTCGTAAGGAGTTCTCTCTCTCTGTATACAACGTCATGCGTCAGTGATTCTGAACTTGGGGACCATGTGCTACTTTAGGGGGAGGGGCAAGGAGGTTAAGATATCTGAAGTAGCATAAATTTGCCATTTGCTTAAAATAAAAAATAAATTTAAAAATTAAGATACGTCGTTTGAATTTGTTATTACTGTTATTATTATTATAATTATAATTTGGTTGGGGTGGAGGTAGATGTATGAGGGGGGGGGGGGAGGCACTAGGCATTGGTAGATGGGAGTGAAAGACTATGACAACCGCTTGACCCTTTGAGTAGGTGTAGGGTATATGTATATGGTTATGTTTAATCGTATGATAGAATTAAATGGTGCGGGTATAGGTTATTGAGTTACAGCTGTTTATAAAGTAGGCATAATGAAAATATTTTATAGATAATAAAATTCACATTTAGTTTTTAAGAATCTTGTAAAATATTTACTATGTTTATAAAGTAATCCTAAAAATGTTCAATAGGTAATGTTGGGGGGGGGGGGGGGTTGGACTAAAGTAGAATATAAGGTAGCGTTTGATAACTTCACATTTGAGTAAGAAGTGGGAATAAACTTGCCTATATTTTTGTTGTTTTTTTTTTTTGCTATCTTTGTCCTTAAAAAGTAGATCTCCTAGCTTAACTTTCTAACACTAAGTCTAATTTAAACCCTAATCCTAATCCGTGCCCTGATCCTGACTCCTTACCCATCCCCCCCAAATAACATTCAGTTGGCGTATTCGCCTATTTGTTTGTTTATTGTTTGATAACATTCTTGTAGCAACCGTAAAATAGTGGGTAAAAAAAAAAAGAAAAAAAAAACGAATTTCCCAAAATTAATAACAGCCATATTGATGCCTCAACGAAACATAGAGCATAGTCCTAGACCTCGAATCACCATTTGGCCCCCACCTCTCACTCCCCCTTCTTAGAATCGTCATTTCTATTTTAAGTTAAACTATTAAAACATGTAGGCCCTATCCCTCCCTCCTAGTATTGTTATGGATTAGGGCTAATAAATTTATATTTGACACGTAGCCTTGAATAGTAGCGCTTGTTTTTAATATTCACGTGATTTTACGAGTGAAAGTTCATACGTAGACATGTTTATGTTCCTCGTTTTCTACCCGTACAAAACAGATCTAAATATCCGTGTTTACTTGGTGGTAGCTATTGACGCGTTACTATGGACGCTAGTCAAGGACGGCAACTCGAAAACATTAACGTTAAAATGGGGCGGGAGATTTTTTTTTAAAATCCCTCGAACATGTTAAAAAAAACGCAAGAAAAACATATGCTCGATAACATATTAAAACTAGATATTTAATTATTTGATGGTATCTTTATCTATGTCATTTGTTCCGTTATGTGGATGCTATTACATTATTTGTAATTTTCATTTTAAGAATGTCAATTAGATCTAGTTCACAATACAGGAACCAGTGGCGTAGGCAGGGGAGGGGGTCAAAACCCCCCTCCCATAGACCTCTCGGTATATATATAAAAAGCATGAGGGGGGTGCTAATCGAAAGTTTGAGGGGGGGGGTGCAAATTGAAAGTTTGTCCCCGGGTAAAAATTGGAACCCCCCCCCCCCCTTGAGACGATCCTGGCTACGCCACTGACAGGAACTGATTGAGAATTTCTAAATAACATTTACCCCAATTATACATAAGCGTCTGATGTAAATTTCTCGTGCATGCTACAGTAAGACCCGCATAACGTCTTAATCTTTTTTTTCCACAGCATAAGCCTGAGATAATGTCTTGCTTTTATAATTAAAAAAAAAAAAAAAGAGCATTTTTGCCATACCATGCTATTTACTATTCACAAGAAGTCAATGTCTATCTATCTACTCCCCCCCCCCCACTCTCGTCCTTCTCCCCCGGGCGCAAGAGCCTGGTACGTATCTGATGAAGTTTGTTCTCCATCTTTAAGATATGAGCTGGAGACACTATCTCAGGTGACCTCTATCCCGGGGGTCAAGGGACGCTGGTTAAAGAATAATTGATGTCGTCTCTTCCCCCCCCCCCCCCTCTCGACCTCCTGTCATTGGGTGTCAAGAAAGAGTTGAATTCATCTTTTAATATTTAAACATTTATAGCACAAAACTTTAAAAAAAGCGACTCAAAAATAACAATAACGTTTCGATCTGTGTTTGTAAAACTTAACAGAAAAACTTGATAAGATTTGACTTTTGCGCTATACATTTTGTTTAATTTAACAAAGAGGCCGGGATGAAATTGTATTAACCTGTCTTTGATTCAAGTGAACTTTGTCAATATGGTCGCTGAGAAAACGGATCCCTAATTTACGACTGCGCTTTAGTAGTCGTACTGTGGGGAAATATATGGAGCCGGTGGGTGTTACACTGAGGTTTAGGGATTTTTGTCTGGGGTCCTTCAGTCGGGGCTGTAATTTTGACCATGGCGTAGAGTGTTGGGCAGATTTGTCAGCTCGTTTTGTCTGGGACGGTCTGGTGCGGGAGTTTAGACGGTGTCACATATAATAAACTGGTACAGCATATAATAAACTTGTACAACATATATAATCATCTTGTACAACACATAATCCACTTGTACAACATACAATCAACTTGTACAGCATATAATCAACTTGTACAACATAAAATCTACCTGTACAACATATAATCAACGTGTACAACATATAATCAACTTGTACAACATATAATCAACTTGTACAACGTATTAACAAATTGTACAACATATACTCTACTTATACAACATATAATCAACTTGTACAACATATAATCAAGTTGTACAACATATAATCAAGTTGTCCAACATATAATCAGCTTGTACAACATATAATCAACTTATACAACATATAATCTACCTGTACAACATATAATCAACTTGTACATCATATTATCAACTTGTACAAAATATAATCAACTTGTACAACGTATAAACAAATTGTACAACATATACTCTACTTGTACAACATATAATCAACTTGTACAACATATAATCAACTTGTACAACATATAATCAAGTTCTCCAACATATAATCAACTGGTACAACATTTAATCGACTTGTACAACATATAATCAACTTGTGCAACATATACTCAACTTGTACACCATATACTTAACTTGTACACCACAACACCATAACATCACGTGACTTACGTTCCGGGTCTGCCCAAGCAGAAAGTGAACTTGGGGTCACATGGGTTGTTGTTGATGTCCTCCCGACAGCTGGCGCTGTAGCTGATGAACCAGACCTCGCTCTGACCGGTCGCTGTCGTCTGCTGAGGGGAACCAAAAGTTGGTGGTGAAAACATTCATCATAGTATTCGGTTTTTTTTTTCAAACAGGGGAACCAAAAGTTGATAGTGAAAACATTCATCAAAGTATTCGGTTTTTTAACAGGGGAGATAAAGCAAAAGTTGGTGGTGAAAACATTCATCAAAGTATTCGGTTTTTTAACAGGGGAGATAAAGCAAAAGTTGGTGGTGAAAACATTTATCAAAGTATTCGGTTTTTTTTTTACACAGGGGAGATAAAGCAAAAGTTTGTGGTGAAAACATGCATCAAAGTTTTCGGTTTGTTTTTTTTTTACACAGGGGAGATAAAGCAAAAGTTGGTGGTGAAAACATTCATCAAAGTATTCGGGTTTTTTTTTACACAGGGGAGATAAAGCAAAAGTTGGTGATGAAAACATTCATCAAAGTATTCGGGTTTTTTTTTTTTTACACAGGGGAGATAAAGCAAAAGTTGGTGGTGAAAACATTCATCAAAGTATTCGTTTTTTTTTTTACAAATGGGAGATAAAGTATTTTTTGGGGTGATTGCCGACTCAATTAAAGGCATGATAAGTTATCGTTAAAGGAGACGCCCTTTGTCATGCTAGACCCGTATGCCACACTTTGTCAAATGCTTGGATATTATTTTACATCCAACGATTCTAACGGCCTTGAATAACAATACGAAAACATCATACCACACTGATAATGTTTAAAAATTCATTACTTCTTTGACCTTGACCCATTCTTTCCGCTTCTTAACACCTCCCTCCCCACAACCAACACGTCATATCCTGCTTACAGTGTCATTTCTGGTAAAATCAGGACTTCTGAGAGTTACGGCTGAGGAATTACCCTACGACAGAACGGAGGCTTCACACTGATGGCGCTTTTGGGACAAAACCTGAGAAAATCCAGTCACTATTGGGATTCCCCAGCTTGCTATATGGAAATTATCCAAGATTGTGAGCTTGGCGATCATATAGAGAAAGTCTCGTGGGCAGAGATTTTCCGAGAAACCAAAAAGATTTAACATCGGCTTTGTCAAACAACAAACTTTCTTTTTTTAATTTAAGAAATTCATAATTCACTCATATACTAATATGAAAAAACATAAATTTTAATAATCCAGAAAACATTTTGTTTAATTACCCACCGAGAGATAATAAAACAAGTTAATAAAAAGTCTAGTGACAATTTAAGCGCAATTTTTAATTTTTTGTGACCGAACGAAAGGATATTTTTGAAAACTTTCTTCGGCAATATTGTTCTACATTATTGCAGGAATCGATTGGTAAATGTTTTAAGTCGCTAAGTGGTCTGGTTGCCGAGATATGGGCCAAAAACTGCATTTTTTGGGAGGTTTTTTTTGCTTTTCCGGGAAATCCAGGAAGGAATTCCGGGAATTTTTTCGGCCCACAATCATCCTCGGAACTTGCTTAACATATTTGCTTTTGGAACTAGTCCTCGATATTGCTTCGTTGAGGAGAAGATACGACTTAAAGCTGCGGACACACATCCATCCATCCTTACAGAAATAACGAATTAATAATCGCAATTGTCAGTATGGAAATTGCGCTAAAAATAAGGACGTGGTTCTAAACTGCGCAAACCAGGCAAAATAAATGAACTTCGTAGATAATCGTGCAAACAGTACCAAATATCGGCTCACCTAAGGTACGGGGCTACAGTCCAATTTGGGCGGCTATGTTTACTAACTAGGCTGTAAGTTTTCAGCCAGGATTTGTTTTAATGAGGGTTTTATTTTTGGATCACATCGTGTCCATGTAAGTCTAAGTGTACCGGGCTGTTGTCAAGGAAGGGAAAACATGTTTTGGCGTTGTACCGACCTCACGATCACACAAGATTTCAGGTAAAGCTATGAGATGTAAAGCAGTTAGATGTAAAGCTATGAGATGTAGAGCTATGAGATGTAAAGCTATGAGATGTAAGGCTATGAGATGTAAGGCTATGATATGTAGCGTTATGATATGTAAAGCTATGATATGTAAAGCTATGAGATGTAAAGCTATGAGATGTAAAGCTATGAGATGTAAAGCTATGAGATGTAAGGCTATGATTTGTAGCGTTATGATATGTAAAGCTATGATATGTAAAGCTATGAGATGTAAAGCTATGAGATGTAAAGCTATGAGATATAGCGCTATGAGATGTAAAGCTATGAGATGTAAAGCTATGAGATGTAAAGCTATAAGATGTAAAGCTATAAGATGTAAAGGTATGAGATGTAAAGCTATGAGATGTAAAGCTATGAGATGTAAAGCTATGAGATTAAAGCTATGAGATGTAGAGCTATGAGATATAAAGCTATAATTAGAATTGTTTCGCAACAACGTTAGCATATTTTTTTAAATTTACGTTTTAAACGAGAATAGTTAAATTTTAAACTGCAACTAAACCTAGTACTAGTTAGTACATCCCACATTCGTTTCGTGCCTCAAATGCTTCTAAAAGTGCGTACCCTTTCGTCATATTTACAAATAAGTACAGTTTGGCAACGTGCCAGAAATTCTATAGAGCTCTCAGTCGATAGAACAGGGTAGGCTGAACACGTCTAGCCAAATATTTTTTTTTTGTTTGTCAGTCTTTACCTCGATTTGAAAAAATAAATAAATTCAAAAGACTTTTCGAACAAAGTTGTCTGTTGTTCATTGAAGAAAAAAAATAGCATTCCTTTACTACCTTTACATAACTTGAACATTTTTCACTGCGTCATGGCTGGCGCTTTGTGCCATGTCATTGGAGACTCACTCAACCGTAAACAAAAAACGGGAATATTTTTTTTTTCGTTTTGAAATTCCCGCATTGGTTGTTTCGGATGAGATCAGCTTTGCCCCCCCCCCCACCCTACCCCCCCCCCCCCCCCACACACACACACACGCACACACACACACACAACAACAACCATCTTTCCCACAGTCAAACACAGCTTATTCACGCCATAAAAAAGCCACCGAGGTTAACGTTTTGGTAGTAACCTTTGACCTTATCGTCAGTACCTGTACATCTCAGGTTTACATTATAGGCGATAGAGGGGCAACAACTCTCGCGAAAAAAACAATCTAAAGATACGATACCGCTGTGGTAATCTGACCACGATATACAATACATAAAATAAAAACATGGCATTGGTAAACATGACTTGTAGTACGATATAGCAAAACTTTAAGGCTTTACATGATTTAAGTGTGTATAGGAGAGGGGGGGGGGTTATTTAACGCCCAGAGACAGTGTTATTGTTTACTAGTGTCTTGCACTTTTAACCTCAGGGGGTTGATAGTTTGTATAAACACTTTTAGGATTTCAAATACAATTTTATGTGTCAACAACAAACACGCAATCGCCCAATCTGCACCAAACTAGTACTTTTAGCCTCCGTGGGGCGTATACTTTGTAGACACGGTTTAATGTTGTCACATACACTTTCATGTCTCAACAACAAGCAGTATGCACCAAGCTAGTACTTTTAGCGCTTCACGGATCTCAAGGTCACACCTCAAGTGTGGAACGTGATCAGGACAGGTGAGGCAGAGTTGACCTTTCGCAAGCCCTTACATTTTTAGGTATTCTTGGATATGACAAAGGGCCATTACATCTGTAGGTACTAAATGACGTTATAGGCAGACGATCATTATATATATATATATATATATATATATAGGTACTGAATGACGCTATCTACAGGCGACAATTACATTTGTATATATTTTAAGATACCGTAAAGAAACACTTACTTGAACAACTAGCGACATCAGCGTTAAGACAAGGAACATCTCGAAATGACGAAGACAGAACGCCATCGTTATATTTTGCTCGTTTTCAAGTGACCTGCAAAATAAAAGAAAGAAACATTAAACTTGTTCCAGTATAGCAGTTCGACCCCTGGGTAGATGGGGACAGCCACTCTTCTAGGAGAAACAACTCCAAAATCAAAACAACTGCTCCAAAAAGAAAAGCAGACTGCAATCGGAGTCAATGGCCTCAATGGCGCATAACCAGTTGACACGTAACGCTTTATTGTGTTGGAGGCGTGGTCGAGTCGGCAAAAAGCTCATGGTTGATAAATTCGAACAAAGTCTCGAGTTCAAACCCACTGGCAGATAAATCTCGATCCCCTTCAACACTAAAAATTAAGAACGAAGAAGAAGAAGAAGAAGAAGAAAACAACTGCTGCCCTGTAGTTAGTTTGTTCTTTATTGAGCAAAGGCTATGGAAGCAAATCCAAAAAGAAAAGCAGGCTGAAATTGGAGTCCACGGCGCACAACAAGTCGACACCATTATAACTTAATTGTGTTGTAAGGAATCACTTCCAACACTAGAATTAAGAATGAAGAAGAAAGTTCCAAAATAGCAATCGCAACATACCGATTTTCATAACATGATTATTGTTCTAACATAAAAATTGATCAAATGTTTAACCCTCAAGTGCATCCTGTTGCAGAGCTGCAACATTCATTACTGGTTATTTATTCTAACATGTAAAGAAACTAAAGTAACAAGGCATGGCGATCTAGATATTACGATGCGTGCACATGCCTAGCTCACCTAACCCTAACTCTAACCCTAACCCTAACCCTAACCCTAACCCTAACCCTAACCCTAACCATAACCCTAACCCTAACCCTAACCCTAACCCTAACCCTAACCCTAACCCTAACCCTAGCCCTAACCCTAACCCTAACCCTAACCCTAACCCTAACCCTAACCCTAACCCTAACCCTAGCCCTAACCCTAACCCTAACCCTAACCCTGTTAATTTCTGGCAAGCAGAACACGATCTGGGACATGTACACACCCTAATACACACCTACTGTCAAAATGAAACACATGCACATTATGTTTAAATGGTTAGATAATTAAATTTAAAAAAAAGAAGAAAAAAAAAGAAATTCCCATGTACTGTTTTTAGCTCTACTAGTTGGTGCAAGTAAAATGAGGATGAGGAAGTTGATAACAAAAGGGCGTGAGTTCTAATCTCACTGAGAACCTTGGGTCAACTACAGACACGGTAAGTCAAATACAATAATTTCCTTCCTCATCGCCCACACGTGGTTAGCCACACCGACTTGATACAAATCACAAACCGCCACACCGACCACAAGCCTAATATTGAAGTATTTAACACCACTAAGAACAAACATCACGACTATATCGTAAGTTGTATGTTTAAAGACCTGTGATTGAGGCTAAGTAAATCTACCTTAGCGGGTTTCCCCAAATGCCCAGTGACGTATATTTATTATCTTTTCTTGAAAGTCTACAGCTATAAAACAAAGGCAGATAAAAATAGACACTAGAAGGAAGTCGTATTTCCTCCTTGTCCATTTCTAACACTTTTAGACGGTCTAGACCTATATATAATTATAAAATACTTGTTTTGACACAAACTATTTCTTATAGCGAAATGCGGGGGTGTAATTAAAATGTTAAAAATGAATGTGTGAACAGTTTTTGTTGACCTTCATGGCGAATAAAATTACTACAAAAGTAAAAGTAAAGACGAATCCTAATTTTTATAATATAATAGTATAAAGACCACATCTATTCAGATTTACTTAATATTTATCTTAATACAATTGCAATTTATTTTCGTTTTTTTTTTAAATTAACAGCTTTTATCCAATCCAAAAAGAAAAGCAGGCTGAAATAGTCAACTGTCTTTCAGCGTATAACAAGTTGACACGTAATACTTAATTGTGTTGGAGAATATCTTCGAACATTAGAATTAAGAACGAAGAAGAAGAAGAAGCTTTCATGTTTTACCTTCAATAAGGGACGTAGTTAAAGCAAGCCCCAAAAAAAAATCAATTTAAAAAATTGCCGAAATCAATGGCACCAACTAATCTGAAACTTCTAGACTAAACCTGCCCGCCGTCTCACACTGCTAAAGATGGAATGATCAAATTTTCTATCTGGCTCTTCTTCTTTACGTGTCCAGTCAAGCGTAGAGCGTCATATTATTGTCACCTCATCACATTTTGTAGCATTCTGACAATTTTTCGAGAATTTCCTCTCTTGGGTTTTCCCTCAATTTGCATTTTTTTTCTAGAATGATGCATAGCTTAATCTTTGGGGGTGTGGGGGGGGGGGGGGGGAGGGGGTGGACTCTGACTAATTTATATTTTATATATAAATTCATTTTTATTTCGAGAGGGGCAGGGGGGAGGGTAGACTTGCTTCGGGGGGGGGGGGGGGGGGTAGTGCCCCGGAGGGATGGCTAAAAGAAAAATTATATCCTTTTCTATTTTACCCGGGGGTTGGAGAGGGGGGGGAAGGGACACTGCGCCGTAGAGTTGCTGAAGAAGCTGCATAGGATGGCGTTCGCGTAATGTTTTCTCGACTGAAGTATTGCGCCCCCCCCCCCCCCCACCTCGTAATCTAAGGACATAGCTGAAACTAGTCCTTAAAAATTGAAATATATTTATACTTGCAGCCGTTAAGTTTACACTATTTACGACAAATGCAATCAGCATGTTTAGAGCCTGGAAAACACAGCATGTTTTACAAGTGTAATAAATACATAACTAGGCAGGACACACGGAACTAGGCAGGACACACGGAACTAGGGGCCAAACTTCTTAAAGATATGAGACACAATAAAACAATATACGCGCTGATAACGAGGTATAGATCGTACATTACAGAGTACAAGCGGGATCCGATGTAGATGGCTAGGGACATAGGCCATAGGCAGTGGGGCGTCAGGGGCTATGGACCAAGGCCGTAGGCAGTGGGGCGTCAGGGTATAGGGACCCAAGGCCGTAGGCAGTGGGGCGTCAGGGGCTATGGACCAAGGCCGTAGGTAATAGGGCGTCAGGAGCTAGGAACCAAGGCTGTAGGCAGTGGGGCCTCAGGGGCTAGGATGCCTGGACTAAATTCAGAGTCTAGGAAACGATGCCTCTTTCCATTACCGATACCCGAAATGAAAAATGTGTGGCGTGTTTCCGGGTCACATGTGTCTTTATATTTAACATTGAAAAGTATTTTATGTCATAGAAAGAACTACTTTACACTCTTAAGTTAGTTATTAGTTGTATATAGGCATATATATATATATATATATATATATATATATATATATATATTATATATATATATATATATATATATATATATATATATATATATATATATATATATCGAAACCCCCAATGACTAATGCTAAGCATGGATGTCTGCAGAGATCAATGAAAATAACAGGGGATGAGACTCGCAGTATGATGTTTCACATGATAATGATATCAGCTTTTTCATTTTTCCCCACTCCCCCCCCCCTCTCCTAAAAACAACGATTAGATAAGACACAAAAAATAAAGAACACAGAGAAAGATAATTGGAGTTTAAGTGTAGGTAAGACAACAAGTTAACTGAAGTTGTTAAACGCCGAGGTTAACTGAAGATATTAAACCCCAAAGTTAACTGAAGATGTTAAACCACAAAGTTAACTGAAGATATTAAACCCCAAAGTTAACTGAAGTTGTTAAACTCCAAGTTAACTAAAGTTGTTAAACACCAAAGTTAACTGTAGTTGTTAAATAAACAACAAAGTTAACTGAGTTGTTAAACATTAAAGTTAATTGAGTTGTTAAACCCAAAGTTAACTGAGTTGTTAAACACCAAAGTAAACTGAAGTTATTTAACACCAAAGCTAACTAAAGTTGTTAACTGAAATGGTTAAACACATAAGGTAAACCGCAGCTGTTAAACACAAAAGTTAACTGAAGTTGTTAAACACCAAAGTTAACAGAAGTTGTTCAACACTTAAGTTAACTGAAGTTGTTAAACACCTAAGTTAACTGAGTTGTTTAACACCAAAGTTAACTGAGTTGTTTAACACCAAAGTTAACTGAAGTTGTTAAACACCAAAAGATAATAGCTGGTGTCAGACACTACGCTAATGTCAACACTAACATTGTAACCCCTCTTTCTTATAGCACGCGGAGGCAACTTGTCTTGTTTTGATTGTACGTGTTGGATAATAATTAGATTAATTTGAGCACGCTGCATTGTAACTTGTCACAAAAGGCAGACCCACCCCTCCCCTTACACCCTTGGCACATTTCAACCTTACACCGTTATAAATAGTATTTTTTTTAAAACGGCGATTTATTTTCCTCAAAAAAGAATTTTTGAGCTGGGTCAGCATAAAAAAAAACGTTGATAAACTTTGATTACAATCTACAAAAAGTTAATAAAAATGTAAGAAAACTGAGACCCTTCCATTTAGGGGTGTGACGATATGTATGCGTGACACCTTACTTAGAGAAAATGTCAACACTGTCCATCTTTTTTCATTGTTTTAAGATTTAAACTGGAGATACGTCACGCATCTTTACCCGCCATATCCCTCCTTATATATCCCCCCTACACACACACATACACACACACACAAAATTAGCCTTTCCAAAGCAGATCATGACAGATACCAGACACCCTCACCCTCCTAGCTGAGCTTGTTATGTAACGACGACCCATTAACAACAACAAAACAAGCAACATTAAACCCCCTCCCCCTACCCACGAGCAGGCTATCAATAGCTTTAATCAATTAAGTAGATTAACAATTAACAAACTTCGTCTTGTGTAGACCCACGTATTGATTTTTTAATTTCTAATTATATAATCCACTGATACAACCTACACTACTGAATTAAAAAAAAACAAAAAAAAAAAAAAACTTTACAAAACATTACATTGTATTTTTAAAACAACGTACCTACACTTTTAAAAAACATTTTCATGAAACAAACACATATAACACATCTATAGGTGAGTTAAGAAAATAACTTACCTCAATTTCTTTGTCGTTTATATCTAATACTTTAAAAGCCAACACAACAGAATGAAATAGAATTTCTAGCAGAATGTGTACCGCGTCTTCATCAATCAAGGTAGATAAAAAATAAACATTACGAGTAACGCAATGGGCCCACAGAGCTGAATGATAAAAGCTTGAAGTAGATCTAGAAAAACCTGTTGATACACAAGTTTTATAGTCTTAAAATGGTTCTTTCCCCTGGCGAGTTACCAATTCTATAAATAGCACGAGAGAGTGGTGACGGGAAATGAAGGGTGACGTCTAATGCAGTACGACTACAGGTAAAGATCTAGACACGGTCATCTGCGGACAGGGAATAATGAAAGGCCCTGGTTAAACACTTCAAACTTGGCAGAGTTTCTTTCAGAATTATTAAGCTGTACCTAGACCTTTATACTTACATAAACCAAGGTGTAGGCCAAGATAGATTCTATTCATGCAAATACCGCATTCTGTTTTCTTTAGGTCGCATTATATGATGTGTTTATGATGTAGGACCTACCTATCTATTGATATTGAAATACTTATAAAAACGTGTTTATTAATAGCATTAATGTACCATTCAGTTAGGTGGTGTAGTGGTAGCTCTGGGTTTACTGTCGATGTGGGACCATTGGCCAGAGGGCGTAACGGGGAGGGTGTGTGTGTGGGGGGGGGGGGGGTGCGGACCGCACAGGGTGACAGCATTTAGGTGGGTGACACCAAGGCGAAAAATAGCAAAATAAACCTATATGAAACAAAAGGGGATCGCAACTCGGGATATAGACATGCTTTTTATTCCATTTTAAATACTTAAACTTTTTAAAATAGAATAAAATCTCGTAGAAAAAAGAATTGCACACCAAGTGAACGCCTAATTATATATATATATATATATATATATATATATATATATATATATATATATATATATATATATATATATATATATATATATATATATATATGTATGTATATATATATATATATATACATACATATATACACACACAGCCAGTTGGTCGGGTGCGCGATAGGGCACTTCCCGGCGCCGCAGGCGCTTCAAATCTGGCAGGCTCCTGCCTTGGGGCAGTAGAACACGCGGGCCGGTGCCGGTTGGCCGCAAAGTCCACGAAGAGAGGGTCAAAACTGACCTCGACTGACCTATATTACGAAAAATACTTTTGCCGAACTACCCCCCTTGACATTTGTGAGCTCTTAGACTGATCTATGAGGTTAGCAAAAAATATTATTCCAATCGGAAAAACCCTTATGGTCGTTAGATTTGTCCAGATGCGGTATTTCTTATATAAACAACTAGATAAATGGCCCGTTGAGGAAGGGTACAACGGGCGCTAGGCTGATAGTGCTGTCTCTTTTCTCTAAACTAAAACCATCCCACCCCCCCACACACACACCCCCACCCCCACCCCCCCCACCACCCCCACCCCCCACCCCCACACACCTCCACCCCCCACACACCACCCACCCCCACCCCCACACACACCACCCCCACCCCCCACACACCACCCCCCACCCACCCCCACCCACCCACCCCCACCCCCCAAAAAAAACATGTCTACCGTCCCATTCAACGAAATATAATTATATACTTTTTCCAGTGTCCGCCCCCTTCCCGAAAATTCTACCCCCGCCCCCGAAAACCTCAAGTACCCCCACCCCCACCCCCACCACCCCCACCCCCCACCCCCACACACCTCCACCCCCCACACACCACCCACCCCCACCCCCACACACACCACCCCCACCCCCCACACACCACCCCCCACCCACCCCCACCCACCCACCCCCACCCCCCAAAAAAACATGTCTACCGTCCCATTCAACGAAATATAATTATATACTTTTTCCAGTGTCCGCCCCCGAAAATTCCAAGTACCCCCACCCCTCTCCGGGGAGGAAAAAGTCTGAAAGAAACACTGGTGTCGCGCTTAGCCACTACCCGAAGAATTGCATTAAAGAAATTGCAAGAAAACCACTTTTTAGATTAGACACATTAATTAGGCGGTAATTTTATTATAGAGTATCGATGAAGAAATTTCTTTTGAGTTGGGGAGGGGGGGGGGGGGGGGGCTCAGACGTTCTTACGCGTGGGGTGGGGCTTCGCCCCTACCCGAAGAATTGTATGCAAGAAACTCTTCACGCAAACCATTAAGATTAGACAACATTTCCTTTTTATTCAATGTTAACGCGAAAATCAATGACGTCATATAACTGTGAGCACTCTCTGGGTTTGAGATTATTTTCTACTCTACGCTAAATGTGTCGACGTCATATTTCGTTTTTCGAATTACTGTGCATGTTTTTATTTTGCTTGTGTTTTCTCTAGAGCGTTCTTGTCAGACAGAGCGTTCTTGACAGACAGAGCGTTCTTGTCAGACAGCGAAACTATTAGTATTAATTGATTGTGAAAAAGTAAACTTAGATTGCGTCATTTTGTACATGTACAGGGGAGGTAATTTTTTGAAGTAATAATTTTTAAATACTTTGTTTACTATTTTGAAGAACAAACAATCATCACAAAGTATAGCATTCATTTAAATAAATATTTCGTTTTAAATTAAGTTATGGATTGTATTCAAATTGTAAAAAATAATTGCAAAAGTGAATTTAATATAATATTTAATTTAATTTTTTAACGAAGCCTTTGCAGTTCTAATAACCTTTCGAGTAATAACTTGAGCTACATGGGTGATGATACTGATGCATCATAAGCGGCTACTCAGAATTTGTACCTGTTTAAAAAGGAACATATCTCCATATTAATGGCTGATAGGCTAACAATGCCTTTCAGAGAAATAGTATAGACATTGTCGTCTGTGATGCACCCTTTAATCTAAAGTATTTGTTGATAATTTACAAGGAATCTTTCTACATGCAGTTTCTTGGACATGCAGTGAGACGAGGAGGAAGGTGTGTAATTTTAGTAAGTCGAGACATAAAAAAAAATGTTGCTACTGCAGTTGCCACTCTCTGAGAAGTTTAACCAAGATAATGTAGAAGTCATTGGCCGAGCTCAAGAAGTTAACCATCAGTTGTAGCCTGTGGCTGTACTGTCTACTCACAATGTTAAACTTTGAGAGACTGAAACTTGTATTCTTGTTTTCAATAAAACTTAACTTTAAAAAAAAGGCCTTAAGCACTTCACATAAATGCCAATTTAACAATTTATTAATCATTCAAATTCTCAAAAGGTTTTTGAAAACGGAATCGAAGCTAGGCAGTGTGCCTAGTATATATATATATATAAACGGGGGGGGGGGTGGGGAGCGACACGATTAAGTGCCGCACCGGGTTACACCCAACCTCGTTACGCCACTGCTATTGGCATAGGAGTAGACATGGGGGGGGGGGCAGTGGGACAGTGACGCCTCTTCCGGAATAAAAAAAAAAATTACTCAAGCTCCGTCTACCTTTGAAGAAACTAGTACTCGGTTTTTTAAAATGACGAATTTGAAGCTGTCTAGATAATAGGCTGGTATGAATGCTCTTACGTTATAATTTAAAAAAAATATTATTTCACGGTATCTTTCTGGTATCTCCCCCCCCCCCCCCCCCGCACCATCGCCGTCCAACGCCCCCCCCCCCCTCCCCTAGGTCGAATTAAAAAAAAAAGTGTAATTTACATACAAAACATACATTTGACAGTGCTTCCCCACTGTATTGTTTTTTAAATGACACCCCCCCCCCCACCAGCAACGTTTATTTTTTAGTTTTGAAATATTTCTGTTTTTATTTTTGGCTTATTGTGTTGAGAAAACTGGTCTATATTTTTCTTTCATGTAATACAAAATAAACAAATGTGGTTGGAACGTTTAGAGAATACATCATCAGGTATCTGGTAGCTCTTGTCAGTCAACATTTGGAGGTAAAGGTTAGAGGCTACAGTTGGTTAGGTTTGTAGATTACGCTAGCTATAGTCAGTCAACATATGGGAGGGGTCAGAGCAGGTTCAAGCAGACTGAAGCTGTTATCAAAAACATACAAACTCTATTCTTATAAAGCAATGGCATTTAATGTTATTTTAGTATATACATACATGTCTTTGATATATATATATATATATATATATATATATATATATATATATATATATATATATAAATTTATTTCCTCACAAGAAAAATTAAAACCTGTAAAACAATACTAGTTTTAATCAAATGCAAAAAAAATGCTAGGAAAGCTTGAAGGTTGAAGATCAAAATATGTATTTATATGTATGGAAAATTTTATAGTTGATTATCATTTTGCTTAAAGTTTTATAACTGTGTATAACTGTGTTGTCAGATCTATAAGAGTTGTAATCAAGTGAAAAGGCACAAACTAACATTAAAATGACGTTTTTAGAAATGATCATTTATCACATTTTTGCTATGGATTACAATCAGTAAGTCCATATAGAAACTATTATATACATTAAGAAATACAATAAAAAAAAAACATTATATTATAGAAAGACTATATTTTTACGGACATATTACTTTTTCAAATGCTGAATAAAAAGACAATTTTTTTACTATTTTAGATGAAGACATAAGCTTTATAAAAACTTGGATTAGCTAACCTAAACATTGAATAATCAGTAAAACCAATTTTTAACATTCTATCTCTAACAAGTTATATACATTTTGTATTATTTTTAATTAAGTTCTGTCTTCTTTATCACAGAAGCTTGAAGTTTAACTTAACGTTTTGTGTCTGCTGAAGAATAACAAATTATCAAAATAAATTATCACACATTTAATAAAATTATTTCATTAATCACAAGGATTAAAATAAAACAGTTTTCTGAAAATTTTAAAACAGTTTTATAGACCTTCTAAAAATCCTATTCATCTTCTTTTACAATATAAAACATAAATTACAATCCATCCATGTTATTTACAATACATACATTTCAATAGTTTAATAGGGAATTATAAAAATCAACAAAGAAAAAAACAAAAATATTATGTATATTTTTGATTATGACAGGAACCTCATAGCATAAAACATAGCAACAAATCATCACAAAGTTCAATTATAATTGAAAAAAAACATCAATTGTTGTAGGGCAAGTCTGTGAAATATTTCAACAACCAACCACAACCTAGAATGTAATTAATAGCTGACCTAGTTATCAACCCAGGAAGACAGTTTTAATGAGGATAAAAATTGAGGAAGTATTTTGTACATTGAAAACCAATCCCTAGATTTCCTGTACAGATTGTCTATTCACATAAAACTCTCTCAAAATGCAGTCAGTTAAAAAAAAAACTAACAGAACAAGTATAGTCATAAAATTTGGATAGAGAAATACATTTTCTTGGGAAACCGGCCCCTTCTCATTTACCTCAAAGTTGAAATCAGAAGAAAACGAATATCATTTATATAATTAAAAACAAATTGTATACAGTTAAGATTTAAAAACCCTAAAAATTTAAAAATTGGTCTTATATTGTTCAATCACAATATTTGAGATGTTCAGATAAATAAGCTGTTTTAACTATATCAATTTATAAGATAGCTCTTCATCCCCAAAGTTTAAATTTTAGATTCCCCTTCAGTTGCATGAAGATTTATCAGGGCATCTTGAACAGATTTCTTGAGCTTGGCTAAATCTTCCTGGTCATTATCACTGGAGTCTTCCTCCACAACATCACTGGTGTCTTCATCAGAGAACTTGGCCCAATCTTCTTGAGCTTCAGGTATACAGCCTTTGCTGTCGATTGTAGAGTAAGCTGCTTCAGCCTCTACTGGCAGATGTTCACTGGCTGTAGCGCTTGATCTTTCACTGGGAGGATAGTCGTAGGTGTTGGCTGGTGTTAGGGTGGGTGCTCCGCTGGAAGGGTTGTTGTATATGTTAGGTGGCAGAGGGATGGGTCGTTGTAGTCTGGGAGGAGGATCTGCCAGGTTTGTTGGTGGGACGTCATAGACATTTCTTTTTGGCGCTGTCAGAAATTTTATTTGGATTACATAAGGATTTATTGCATTTTGTGTGTAATTAAGAATAAAATTATTATCGTACATGAAAATTGTGAAAGAAAATTTTTATTGGTTACATCTATTTAAAAAAAATATTTTGGTTGAGCTGAAGATCACACGATAATAAACCCAAGAGGTATGAGTTTAAATCTCAGATTTAGCGCATTTTTGGCTGAAGATTTCTAATTTATACACAGTTTTTAAAAATATTTTAAAATAGTAGATTCCAACTTTTTAACATGAGTGTTGTTTTTTTGTAGTTAATGTAGATTTCTCAACCTAAGTCCCTAGGTCAATGCATTACAAAATATAGTAAACTTACTCAGGGCATGGGTAAGCTAAAGATGGAGGTTCACAGGCTTATCCTTGCACAATGAAATATGGTAGGCAAATCAAAATGGATTTTTATAATTAAATTCTCTTAACTAACCTGGGATGTCCAAGTTGACTGAATCAGTTGAGATGTTCTCTGTGTACAGATTGCTGTTTGCTGAGGCCATAGCGGCATCGATGCTGTCTAGATCTTGGTACTCTGGGTCATTGCCACCTGGACAGCAACATGTAACATACATTATGACTGACCCAGACCAACACAAAGACAACAACATGTAACATACATTATGATTGGCCAAGACCAACACAAAGACAGCAACATGTAACATACATTACGATTGGCCAAGACCAACACAAAGACAGCAACATGTAACATGCATTATGATTGGCCAAGACCAACACAAAGACAGCAACATGTAACATACATTATGATTGGCCAAGACCAACACAAAGACAGCAACATGTAACATACATTATGATTGACCAACACAAAATACCCTAATTAAAAATAAATTTCTACAAGCAGCTAAAAGAAATAAGACAAATCTAACTTAAAAACTAATTTGTAAGCTATTTTCAACTGCATCTAAATTGTAAATATAATAAGGTTACTGGAATATCTGAGCATACAACTATGGAGAAGTATTTATAAGGAATTCATTTCAAGCTTAAAAAAATGCATTTATCTTTTGATCCCTAAAACAACTTATTTTGGCTGCTTTAACTATTCCAAACTTTGCCAATTTATTTTTTTAAAGTAAAATTATAATGTTAATTATAAGAAGTTTTAAAATACATTCTTTTATTATATTAACATAGATGATATTTAAAATTTAATAATAACTATTTATATTACTGTTTATAGAGTTTAAATTGTGAAATATAAATAGACCTACAAATAAGCAACACATAAATCAAATGAAGCACAAAATATTAGTGTTATGTTAGCTACAGACCTAATGATTCGTTAGAGTTAGCTGCCTGGGCCTTGAGGGTTTTAAAATCAGCATAATTGTTGGTTAGTGCTTTCTCACCATCTGCCTTGGTCAAAGTTTGCAGGTTGGACCACCGAGCCTTGGGCTCACACTCAGTAGATTTGTTCTGCGTCTTTTCATTTCTGAGGATACAAGGATAAATTGAACTGAAACTTGTGTATTAGGGCTTTTTGTGTGTAAATTAAAGTAGTCATAAAAGAATATTAACTTTATATTAGTCTATTTCTTTCTTTTGTTGTAGTTCTTTTTTATTATTTCAATTTTGTAAATTAAGCCAATATGAAGAATTGAGCGAACTGTGCTTTGCATTGCTTTTCAAAATTTAAAAGCTTGTATCTAAGTCTTGTTATTTATTTATACTGAAACTTATCACTGCTAATAAAAGTTTTGTATTAAAATTGATGTATATTTGCTAGAAACTTACACCCTCATTTGACAACATCCACCAACAGCTCCTACTGCTGTCTCATCTACTTGGGCATAAGTTGGGTTTAGGGCATTTTCATTCACATTTACTGGAGGCACGGAAACAGTGGGCACAGGGGGAAGTTCCTGAAGCCAAAACATATACACATAGATCAGTTCTTAAATCAATATTTAAAGTTCCTATAGCCAGAACATATTCACATATATCAGTTCTTACATAAATCTATATTTTAAAGTTCCTATAGCCAGAACATATTAACATAGATCAGTTCTTACATAAATAAATGTTTAAACTTGATTCTATTTAAAGCGTGGTATCTGTATTTTTAAGATTTTAAATTATCAGTGCAAATGTTTGTTCTATAAAATATTTTTTTTTAATAGATCATGTTTGTAAATTTTCAGAATATTTAATATCAGTTGCTTAAAAACTTGGACTTACTCTATTCTCTAGAGCTTGATTGGTTCTGTTATTATTGTGGTACATGCTGTTCTCAAAACTTAAACTTTCTCCATTGAACATAACCGATGGAGCAGGGCTGGGAAGAGAACTGCCACTAGGAGACTTTTCAGATCTTCTGTGAATAAAATTGATAATTGTGTTATTCATAAAATAATTTTAATTGCACTGATCACTGTTCATTAAGTTTACACACAATTTGACACTTATTTGTAAACAGGTTTAGGCGTAACTAATACATTTTCTGAACTGTAATAAAGTAAATTTTACTTGTTTGTCTATGTTTTTTCTGTTGTATTAAAAATGTATTAGCTAAATCACATATTGAAAAACATCCCATGTAACTAGAAACATGTTCTAGACTTACCGTCGTCTTCTCATGACAAAACAAATAATGATGACAACAACAGGGATGGCAAGGCAAATGGCAATAACAGCGCCATACCAGCCTTGGAATGATGACTCAGACTGAAAAACATGACGAGAAGAAAGTAGATATAATTTTTTTGTAAATATGATGATTATATGTTATCTAATTAAATCAACAACAAATATCCAATTTAAAAAAATAACAAATTTTAAAATTTTAATTTTATAATATTTTTTTTTACATTTTTAGTGTTACTTTTATGTTTAAACAGTACAAAAGCATTTGTTTTGCTAAATAGTGTAACAATTGTATTCTAATTAAAAAAAAGAAATCAAATGTTGAACAGAACTTACAATGTTTTCTCTCAAATGTTCTGACTGAGCTGAGTCCAAAGATCTGTTTTCTGCAAATAAAATAATTTAAAAAGCTGAATTGGAAAAATTCATGCACCTAAATTAAATGTTCATCATTAATATTATCATGCATTTGAATTAAAATATAAAATTAGATATTGCAATATTCGTCTGTTTAATTCAAGTTTTTAATTTTTATTTTGAACAAAGATAAATGCTAAGATAAAGCTTTTGTTTTAGTGGATAACTACATCATATCTAATTTAAAAACTTTTTCCTGCTAATTAAATCAGCATTATAATTAGGTTCTTGTATTCTTAGCAAGCTTTTTGCCATCTTTTGTTGACTAATCATTAATAGTGCTAATTGCTTGTGATAATTAAAACTAAAGTGAGTTGTGAGTTTAAATTAACTTGTTAGTACAAGGTACAGTTAGTAAAAATGTAAGTGCTGTTAGTTTATTTCATCGAGGCTCTAGATAGTGTACAGTAAATTTGTAAAAATTACTTTATTGAATCCAGTTTACCAAGATGGTTTAAAGGAAACATGCATGTTAAAAACTTTATTTAAAAAAAAAAAAGGGATGCATTATACAAAATAGTATGGCTTTACAATAGGAGTGGCATCATTAGGTTGGGTGTCAACCAGTGTAGAAAATCAGTGTTCCTCCCTTCCTCATATGGTTTAGCATTTTTGGTTTGGTTTCACCCCATACTATTGTATGTTGTAACTGGATAAAGCATTGTTTTTTGCAGTAATTTTTACTAGTTTTTCAATTTAGTATCACCGTTACACTGTGTAACAGGCAGACCCAGTCCAAGCCTTTTTACAAAAGTAAAAAAAAAACATCCTTCTTGTTTAATACATTTTGCAAGAAAGTTGTAAGATAACATAAATTTTAACAACATTAAGGAGTAACTGTTTGAAGCTACAGATGATAAACTTAGTTCAAAATAAAAAAATTTCTTAAGCTTTTGTAGTCTTAGTCAGTACACTTTTCAGCAAGAATTGGGTTTTGGGGTGTCAATAAAATACCAAAACCACGTAGTTATGTATTGAATTATGTTTTAGAAAAGCAGGAGGCTGGTCTTTAAGTAGAAGCAGTAAATGTGAAGTGGCCAAAGCAGGCAGTTTATGTGGAGAGGGTGGCCAAAGCAGGCAGTTTATGTGGAGAGGGTGGCCAAAGCAGACAGTTTATGTGGAGAGGGTGGCCAAAGCAGGCAGTTTATGTGGAGAGGGTGGCCAAAGCAGGCAGTTTATGTTAAGAGGCTGGCCAGGGATGCTGTAGTGGGATAAGCCATTTTTGCCATGCCAGCGTACAGGAAGGATTGTGAGATATAAGAGACATGGAAACCTTTAGAACCTGGAGGTTTTGGAGAAGTTTGAAATATTTGATCCATTGTGGGTTTAGTGGGGTTAGAAGTAGTAGAAGTAGTGGTAGTAGTGGTGGTGGCGGTAGTGGTCGAGGTGGTAGCCTCTTCAGTTGTGGTGATTTCTGTTGACTCAGTTGTTGTTGTAGGTATAGCTGGTACAAAAATTCAAACAAAACCATTTTTCTCACAACATGCTATAATAAAAATATAATACATTCATCCTCCAGTGTATGATTCTTTTTTTAGATTAGGTATAAAAAAATAACATGCAGTTTTTAGATGATTAAAAGAGTTATGTTAATTAGATCCCAATGGAGGTGTAAACAATTGACAACATACTTGTGGAGGTGGTTGTGGTGGTGACTGTTGTTGAGATGACATCACACAGATGGCCAGTGTAGGGGTAGCTGCATGTGCAGTTGTAAGACAAGTGATCAATGCTGGAAATAATACATGAATTTTAGTTAAAATTATTTGAAAAGGCAATAGGACAATGACTATTCAATTCCAATAGCTAAATTAGTTTTACTTGCTTTCATTAACATTTAGTAATACAAATAGATGTAGATGTATATTGATTAATGTGTTTTGCAACCCAAATAAAATTTAATGCAGTTTTTTAATATGAAGGCTTATTATCAAAATATTGCAAAATAAATTTATTCAAATTGAGTTTAAATATTTATTTAAAAAAAACAACGAACTTGCTGTGGCAGATGCCATTGTTTAAACATGGCTGACTTTTGCAGGGGTCAGCCCTTGTTTCACAGTTATCTCCCTCCCATGCTGTTGTACATCTACAAAAATATGTGTGCTCAGTGTTGTGGGCATAGCAGGTCCCTCCATTGAGACAGGGTGAGGAGCGGCATGGGTTCATCAACAAACTGCAGTTTTTGCCTAATTGACACAAACAAGTTTAGCATAAGTTTAAGATTTTGGGAAAACATCTTTGGATTTAAAGTGCAGCATTTTTATGCTTTAAGTCTGTAACAAAGCAGTGTTTAAAAACTAGGCTTTTACGTTATAAAATATTTGTTTTGTTTTTATAAACACTTGATAAAAATTGATGTTAACCTCATCTTTGATTAGGCTATATAAATTGCAAGACACTGTTAATATGCTTATATTATAGATATAACTTTTGTGTTGATTCATGCATATCAAATTTCACAGCACAATTCCCTGAAAACAAAAAGTAGCGCCCTACATTTTAAACTTTACCTGTGTAATTTTGAGGACAGTCACAATTATAATCAGCAGGTAGATTAGTGCATGCTCCCCTTACACAGAAGCCCAGAGCACATTCATCAATGTCTTCATTACAGTTTGTACCTTTCCATCCTGCATTCAGATGTTACAAAGTTTTAAATTAAGATTAATAGTCTACTTCAACTACACCCACAAAGGTATATTACAACACTTTATAAAATATTTCTTAAAATTCAATATAAAAAACACAGAAAATCAATCAACTTTTCATTATAAAGCAAAATCAAATTTAACTTTAAATATTTAGAGAGAGACATACTTTTTTCCTTTTTAAATAGTTCTTGAGAATTTAAATGGATACACTTCTATTTCCATATTAATCTACAGGCTTATATGCCAGATTTTAAAAAAAAAAAGAATTACCTGGCATACAGATCTTGTTCCCAGTGCCACTCTGGCATGTGTAGTGGCCAGTTGATGTGTCCTGGGGCTTGCAGTAAACGTCGCAAGAACTGGTGTAGTAGTAGGGGTCACAGTACAGGCGGATTTTAAACCGCATTCTGAAATATTTTTATAAAACACATTAAGTCATAGGTAACCTTAGTATTTGTAGCATCTCAAAAAATTATTTCAACCACAACAGCTTTACTTTAATCTGGAGTAATCTTCCAAATATCTCTATGAATTTATGAGTTAAAATAATTAAATATAGCTTATATTATAATAAAATAGTTTGTTGAATTATTTTTCAAGCTTTTTATGATGTAGTAGATTGTATTAATTTGAGTAAAAAAATAAATTTACATTTAGATAATTAGCAATCAAGAACTCAATTTATACTTCATATCAGTTTAAGGAACTGTATAGCTCTTGACTATCTACATTAACAGATAATGGTACAGTACTAACTCATGTCCACTACTGCTCATCACATGAGATGACCACTGGGACTCCTCCTTGGAGGCTGCAATGGTTGGCTGCACCCTTAAGCCCCACGTAATCAAGTGGTCATTAGACCCAAACGTGTCATCATCGACCACCTTGACCACCAACATGATGGCAGACTCCTGAGGAAATGAGTCGATGCATGAACAAGACTTGTCTGAGTATTGAAGTCTATCATGTTACTACTAAATGTGTATGTGTCAAATGGACACCACATAGGTGGAACCTACTGACAGACAAGACACCACTTACATGGAACCTATTGACAGACAAGACACCACTTACATGGAACCTATTGACAGACAAGACACCACCTACATGGAACCTATTGACAGACAAGACACCACTTACATGGAACCTATTGACAGACAAGACACCACTTACATGGAACCTGTTGACAGACAAGACACCACTTACATGGAACCTATTGACAGACACCACTTACATGGAACCTATTGACAGATAAGACACCACTTACATGGAACCTATTGTCAGACAAGACACCACTTACATGGAACCTATTAACAGACACCACTCACATGGAACCTATTGACAGACACCACTTACATGGAACCTATTGACAGACAAGACACCACTTACATGGAACCTATTGTCAGACAAGACACCACTTACATGGAACCTATTAACAGACACCACTCACATGGAACCTATTGACAGACACCACTTACATGGAACCTATTGACAGACAAGACACCACCTACATGGAACCTATTGACAGACAAGACACCACTTACATGGAACCTATTGACAGACACCACTTACATGGAACCTATTCACAGGAAAGACACCACTTACATGGAACCTATTGACAGACACCACTTACATGGAACCTATTGACAGACAAGACACACCTTACATGGAACCTATTGACAGACAACACACCACTCACATGGAACCTATTGACAGACACCACTTACATGGAACGTACTGATAGACAAGACACCACTTACATGGAACCTATTGACAGACAAGACACCACTTACATGGAACCTATTGACAGACAAGACACCACTTACATGGAACCTATTGACAGACAAGACACCACTTACATGAAACCTATTGACAGACAAGACACCACTTACATGGAACCTATTGACAGACAAGACACCACTTACATGGAACCTATTGACAGACAAGACACCACTTACATGGAACCTATTGACAGACACCACTTACATGGAACCTATTGACAGACAAGACACAACTTACATGGAACCTATTGACAGACAAGACACCACTTACATGGAACCTATTGACAGACAAGACACCACTTACATGGAACCTATTGACGGACACCACTTACATGGAACCTATTGACAGACCAGACACCACCACTTACATGGAACCTATTGACAGACCAGACACCACCACTTACATGGAACCTATTGACAGACCAGACACCACTTACATGGAACCTATTGACAGACAAGACACCACTTACATGGAACCTATTGACAGACAAGACACCACTTACATGGAACCTATTGACGGACACCACTTACATGGAACCTATTGACAGACACGACCCATGGGTTACTGAGACCCTTGATGCTGGTCTGACCCTCCAGGTTGATGCTACCCGTGTCCTGGTAGTAGCCACTCTGCCCAGTTACCCCATACACACATACAGAGCTGCTCAGTGTGACACTAGAACATAACACACATATTTTTTACTTTATCAAAAGAATAAATTGATTAAATGAAAGCTAACAATTTCATAACTATATATATATATATATATATATATATATATATATATATATATATATATATATATATATATATATATATATATATATATATATACTATGTTACCCATAGGCCTACATGCTGAATAAATGTTTTGTTTGCCTATTTGGTGCACTAAAGGTTATAACAGACTAAGTGATGACAGGGCTATATGTGTCAGCGTGTGACATGAATGGAAGATTTCAAGTATCAGGAGTGAGTACAAAACCTTACCTCCCAGTTTGGGGTCGACTAAGACAAAATGTAAACATGGGGTCACAAAGAAAACTTTACCTCCCAGTCTGGGGTCGGCTGAGACAGAATGTAAACATGGGGTCACATCTGTTGTCATTGATGTCCTCCCGACAGGTACTGGTGTAGTAGGTAAAGTGGACCTCGGCGTGGCCAGTGCCTGACGTCAGCTGGGGATTGGGTTAGAAGCTAATTATGGCGTGGGTTTGGATCTTTTTGGCATGTATAGGTTTTGGTAGTTACTTTTATCTTACGCTCTCAATCTCAGCAGAGTCCTCTGACTCGACATTTATTTCTACACCTCAGTAATCCTAATCCCACGATAAATAGAATGGATAAACAAAGCTGCTATTGAAAATTAAATTATTAATTAAATAACAAAAGCTGAGAAAATATTACAATTAAACAACGACTTTAAAAACAAATTACTAAAGATGTGAGGATGGAGGAGGAGATGGGCTAGGCTACAAGGTCAACGGACTTAGTTGCAAGACCTGACAGCCTGGCTTTGCCTTATGATTTATAATACTAAATTAAGTTTTTAACCTAAAAGGAAAAATCAGAACTTCTCACAGAGGCGTAGCGACCGATTCCGGCGCCCGGGGCGGACTATACATTTTTGCGCCCCTCCCTCCCATTCTATATATAATTATTCCTGTCTCCGAAAAAGCACCCCCCCCCCCCCCAAATAAATAAATTGGAAAGGTTTGTGGAATTTCTTAACAATGACTATCCCATTAGCTTTTCTATTTCTGTGCCACAAAATTGATATAGAAAACAGTTAAATCCGTGTGAAAAGCCTTGAAGTCGATTATTTTCGTAACTTTGACTGTATATAATTTAATACTTCAGTTTAAAATGTGCTTTTAAATTAATTTTTCTACCCCTTTTGTGCACCCTTAGGGTCGGCGCTCGGGGCGGCCGCCCCACCCGCCCAACCCTATCTACGCCACTGCCTTCTCATTAAAATTAGCTGTATTTTGTTTTGGTGTCACCTACTTGGATGGTGTGAAAAGTGCGTCCTTTTTACACCCCCCCCCCCCCCGCCCCCGTACACACCGCTAATTTCCTGACTTGCTTGTTAGGTTTAAAATAGCGGATCATCAATCGTCTGCTAAACATCAGGTCTAGATTTGACCTGACTTCGATACGCCCAGCCCAGTTGAACTAGCCCAGTCCTGCTGGGTTTGATGGGGAAAAAAACAACTTCATACGGAAGTTCACATGCTGTGAAAAATTCAGCCATCTTTTTTTTCTATTGCTGAGATGAAACTGGATGTTACACCATCGTTTACCGTGTTTAGCTTGTTTTTTTTTATATTTTTTTCAAAAAACTAGACAACACTATGCACCGGTACTATTACAAAATATAATACCGAAGAAAAGAAAATCTGGAAACCAGCTTAAAACTGTCTGGCTAGTTATTAGATCTAGTTGTTGTTAAGATAATCAGCATTGAAATAAAGATAAAATAATGTAGCATAAATATATACCTCATTCCATACAGGGAGCTTGTTAAATCTTTAAAATTACAATAAAATTAGTACTGGAGCAGTAGTTCTTAACTGGGTTCGATCGAACCCCAAGGGTTCGGTGAGTCAGTCTCACGGGTTAGGCAGAGGTCAAGACACACACCAGACTCATATGATTCACGGTCGGATTTTGTCAGTGCGCACGATAGAACTATTAAATAGTGTTCAGTGACAGCGCGTGTGAAACTGGTGGGGTACGGTACCTCCCAGAAAAATTTAGAACCACTGTAATGGAGTAAGGAGGCTGCGTCTAAAAATATATTAAAAAAGTCCTAAAAATGCATCACGATAATGACAGTCGTGTTAATTTATTTCCCCGGAATAAGTTATGCTGATTATCCTGCAGATAATGTAGGCTGGATCTAAATCAGTAACAATGATGATTCACTATCTTTTTAAACGGAAGTAAAAAAATATTTCTTATAGAGACGGGATACGGAAATGGCGGAGAACAACGTTCTACCGGAAATGGGTGAGACATGACCTCATTCGTTACCTGCACGACGCAGCCCAAATAAATGCAACATGAATGGTGTAAAACATTTTGATTTCGTGGAATCAGGAAATCATCTCTCGTCAACACGTCATTGATGATGTCAGTGCGTAAATAGGCTCACTGTCAGTGATAGGCTAAGGCGGTCATATGGTCAGGCTAAATATAGACATAATCTGATGCCGTTGACTTTATCTAGTGGTCACGATATTAACTAAACATCGACACGTTAGTAAGAGCTGCTGACTTGGTCTATGATGCTAACTTGGTCTAGGTGCTAACTTGGTCTAGGATACTAACTTGGTCTAGGTGCTAACTTGGTCTAGGTGCTAACTTGGTCTAGGATACTAACTTGGTCTAGGTGCTAACTTGGTCTAGGTGCTAACTTGGTCTAGGATACTAACTTGGTCTAGGTGCTAACTTGGTCTAGGTGCTAACTTGGTCTAGTGTGCTAACTTGGTTTAGTGTGCTAACTTGGTCTAGGTGCTAACTTGGTCTAGGGTGCTAACTTGGTCTAGGTGCTAACTTGGTCTAGGTGCTAACTTGGTCTAGGTGCTAACTTGGTCTAGGTGCTAACTTGGTCTAGGTGCTAACTTGGTCTAGGTGCTAACTTGGTCTAGGGTGCTAACTTGGTCTAGGTGCTAACTTGGTCTAGGTGCTAACTTGGTCTAGGTGCTAACTTGGTCTAGGGTGCTAACCTGGCGTGTCGAATTCACAAATTATAAATCGTTGATGAGTAGAAAATAAAACAACTAGATAGCGGCGTATGCTAAGTCGCGGGTCCGCTAGTATTATAAATTATAATATATATATATATATATATTATAGAAACGTTCGAGGTTCACCCAACCAGAACTCTCACGACTGTCAATAGTTGTATGAATAAGTAAAGCCTATGCTTATCTATACTTAAAAATGATTCAATGTAGAGTGTTGTAAACGGTTTGTTTAGCTTCGTTTTATACTCGCTCATTATTAAATCATAATGGCTTGGATGAAATAAAAAAAAATCGTATTTTGTTGATATTTTAGTGTTGAGTATAATAGCCGAGAAACCGAAGTTTACATCACTGGGCTTTAAAGGTTGGACTCGAGTGAGGTCACTGATTTTACCGATGTGATTGAGGGTTTCTTTCAGACATTTCACCGCGGCAGGGGAGGCTAACAATTGTTAAAGTATATATTTTCTATTTAATGTAATTTTTCTATCAGGTCGGGGGCAAGGGGGGTAGGTGGGCCTCTCCCCCCCCCTCCCCCACAAGAGATGCCTGTAAGAATTAATATTAGTGTATGTTTGGGAATGACATTTTTTTGTGTAACAGAAAAATTCGGTGGTTGGGGAACTCATAAAATGTTGTGTTTGAATAATGACTGTGTTAAAGTATGAAAAAGGGTGAAAAAGGGTTCTTGTAGATACAACCGAAAGAGTTTCCCGAGTTTTGTTTAGGTCGTCAATGTATGTTGATGCGTCGACAAGTTTTTTTTGTTTGATCGCGTCCTCTGTTGCTAGGCAACAAAACATTGAGGTAAACAAGATCTTCGTGGTTCATTCTCACCCGCATGTGACTTCCTGAAGATGTGAGGACGGTGGAGATGATGGACCTGGCTACAAGGTCAACGGGTTTAGCTGCAAGACTTGACAGCCTGGCTTTGTAAATCACTAGAGAAACCCCACAACCGTGACGACCAGTGTAATTCTCTTCTCACTTCAGCCATCTTTCTTATGCATTGTTGTTTGTTTATGTTTTTATTTTACTCAATAATTTTATTTCGTCGGTCACGCCTAGGCGTGTAACCCAAGTCACAAATTCTGTTGTGCTGTAATTATTCTAGCCACATAGACCGCTATCATTATTTGGTGATAATAGTGAGGTTGGCGCACAGACGAGTTATCTGTCTTGCCGCTACAAAATGAGTTGTGTCCCTTCCTGTGTTTGTCGTCAGAGCTTTGTATAGTGTGGGAATATTTTAAAACCTCGGCTGCATTCTTTGAGAGGGTAGTCATTAAATTTATCTTTTAAAAGTTTGTAAACTCTATCCGCAGGTCAGTCAACGGACGAGACATGTTTTATTGAAGACACATGTAAATCTGAAGCTGTCTACAACAGGTAAACGTAAATAAAAAAACAATACACAATCATTTCATTCAACTTGGCCTAAAGCTGAACCAAACACACGTGACACCCCCCTCCCTACTCCCTACTATTCTACTTGTAAACCCCATATTATACATCGCCCCCTTGTAGTGAGTATAGCTGAAGGAAAAAATGTAATGATCGCTTGTTTAGGGTTGTGAAAAGAATGAAGTTTTGGCTGTGGGTTAAGCGATTTAGCAGTTAGTTATGTGGGAGATTGTCCATATTGTCACACGTTAATGTATTAAACGTCTCTCTAAATACAGACATCAATATATTAAACGTCTCTCTAAATACAGACATCAATATATTAAACGTCTCTCTAAATATAGACATCAATATATTAAACGTCTCTCTAAATACAGACATCAATATATTAAATGTCTCTCTAAATACAGACATCAATATATTAAACGTCTCTCTAAATACAGAGATCAATATATTAAATGTCTCTCTAAATACAGACATCAATATATAAAACGTCTCTCTAAATACAGACATCAATATATTAAACGTCTCTCTACAGACCTCAATATATTAAACGTCTCTCTAAATACAGACCTCAATATATTAAACGTCTCTCTCACCACATACATCAATATATTAAACGTCTCTCTAAATACAGACATCAATATATTAAACGTCTCTCTAAATACAGACATCAATATATTAAATGTCTCTCTAAATACAGACATCAATTTATTTAACGTCTCTCTAAATACAGACATCAATATATTAAATGTCTCTCTAAATACAGACATCAATTTATTTAACGTCTCTCTAAATACAGAGATCAATATATTAAACGTCTCTCTAAATACAGACATCAATATATTAAACGTCTCTCTAAATACAGACATCAATATATTAAACGTCTCTCTAAATACAGACCTCAATATATTAAACGTCTCTCTCACCACATCAATCAATATATTAAACGTCTACCTATTAAACCCACATTTTACTTAATTAACTGATCGATTTTTAAAGTTCACAATTCAATCAGAAAGGAACATCAACAGATTATACAGCATACACGTTTTGTCCCACGCGACGTTATAAACTGTAATATAACACACTACACACCGTATAACTGATAAACCACCACCACCCCACGCATTCGTGTTCAATGATGCTCACGATCCCCACATGTTTTCATGTGACTGGTTTGATTACCATAGCCGTATGATTTTTGCATGATTTGTGTTTTGTATTTCACCGTTCTTTGTTTTCTGTTTCCTTTCATGTTTTGCTAGATCGTGGTTTGTTTCCTTTCAAGAGGCGGACCATTTGTAGTTTTTAAAAATTGAAGTCAAGACCGTATTCTTTCTAACAGCTTTTCTGTTTCGTTTGTTTTGGTATACTTTTGTATGCCCTTTATATTGTTTTTTTTATATTTCCAAACGCAAACGTAAAAAAACAAGAAATCCTCTAAATAGTGAAACGAAAAATTGACAAGATATGATATAAAAATTGTCTACAGTGTTATTGTTATTGTGTTGTTTTAATTTCAGCTTTTGTGTTTATTTAATGCAAGCGGTGATTTTTTTTTAAAACTTTGCACCAATTTATCAATTTTTGCGTAATAACCCAATTAACCTTTTGATTTACATCAACAGCGTTAATTAACGAGGTAGACTTATCTAAACACTGACTAATTATAGTAATTAAAGATGGCCGTGATGCGACAGACCAACAAACAAAAAAGGGAAACAACTCACCCGAACTTGGCAGACTATCAACAAACAGGCGGCTAACCAAACAACAACAGCAGAAGTGGCGTCCGCCATGTTGAATCTGCGTCCACAGTTGGGGCCTCACGACGTCGTGACCTTTGTAACAACCGTTTTCACACAACCTGTTGAGACACACAGGAGGGGTCAAAGGTGTGTGCTGGTGTGCCCGTACCGACACGCGTGAGGATGGGGGTGGGGGGGGGGGGATGGGGGGGCTGTTGGCCTAAATTAGGTTCATAGCGGTTTGGTATAAAAGGGCCTATACTGTATACAATTGCAGAATTATAAGAAATATTAGATGCTAATTTGGTTTGTTGTGAAAGTAAAATAAATCCACGAATTCCTTCTTGATTTAGGTTCTCACACAACATCAGAGTAGCAATAGAAACATAAGAAATATTTAAACTAGTTTAACGTGACCATTGAATGAACTGCCCATCGTGGATATATCTGTGGCCCCATGTTTAGATTTTCTCTTAGTGCTCAATTATGTCTAATAGGATCGTCCATAAGTAACGTCACACATTTGAACTGGATATCCACTCTCCCAACAACGTTACAGGCCGTCACAAAAATCCAGAATCCACTGGATATGACGTCACGGTCTTAACAACTCTCCATCACTGAACCACCCCACTCCACCCATTATTTAATAAAAATATGTTTATATCAATTTATCTTTAATAATATAAAAATAAATGCACACTTCTAATAAAAGCCTTTTTTAAAAATCCTGAACAACTTCTACACCTATAATCCCTGGTGACAAGCGGTTTTAAAAATATTTTTAAAATCTTGTTTTTTTTTTTAAAGTCTGCACTCGGATTTTATCTTCAAACCTCGGTAATCATTGAGGGCCTGACACCGCAAAGAGAGAAAAATAATTTGGTGAAAAGAGAAATTAATGAGAGCTTAGAGATGCTGCACATACAAATAAATGTGATATGAAATTAACGAATGCAATGCAAACATGCACAATAAAAACGAATATGATATTAACAAAAGCTTTACGATCATGCATACACAGATGAATAAGATTTGAATTTAATTAAGGATTTGCGATCATGTACAGTGTACAGGAAAAAATAACTATTGTAGATCTGTAATCCTTGTCGGTTAATGACATATTGTAAATGTAATTGTTAGGTGACTTCTGCAGTCGACACCCGCAGTTTGTAAGCTGCAAAGTTCTACGTCAGCAAGACTGACAGGTGGGCGTGGCTAGCAGGGAAAACAAACACGCGTGGAGAATATAGGCTAAGTAACAAACATCACAGGGTAACGTAACTAAGTTACGTAACGAAGTAAATCTCACGTACTGAGGTCATGAGAAGTTTATTTTTAGTGTTGTAAGCTAACTATCAATCTCAATTAAAATTAACAATTCAGAATGTTTCCTTGTTACAATGAAGAAGGAAATTAATCTGCGTGTGTTGAATAAACTTAAATAAAGAACGTAAATGATTGTAGAGAAATCCTTGGTTGGGATTACAAGGGCCACTACTGTCGGGGTGAGTTGAGCTGAGTTACGCAAGGGCTATAACTCAAGGGATAGATGGTTTAAGACCGTCGAGTTTTAGGATAAAGTACATACATTTAGAAGAGTAGTAAACTTTTTCACACATACAAGATTCGCCCAGGGCCTCTTACCTCCCCCCACCCAACAACGTCACAACGTCACTGAATGGAAATTGGACTTAAATTTAACTGACAGTAGATGGGCATAGATCTAACATTCTCAGATCAAAAGATTTGTTAGGTAGGTCTAAAATGACCTTCAATACTTAATATTGTTATCTCAGTGAGGTCTGAAATGACCTTCCATACTTAAAATTGTTACCTCTGTGAGGTAAAAAATGACCTCACAGAGATAATATTGATTTCTCTGTGGGGTCTGAAATGACCTTCCATACTTAAAGTTGTTACCTCTATGAGGTAAAAAATGACCTCACAGCGATAATATTGTTATCTCTGTAAGGTCTGAAATGACCTTCCATACAAATAAAACAACAAGTTGGTTCCTGTTTGTGGGTTCAACATCTCACCCACCAATGTATGTCTTCACATTAGTACATTGTTATTTGTATTGGCCAGTGTTGGTTGTATTTAATTAGTTGTTAATTAGCAGTTAATTACTCTAAGTCTCACCTCATCCTGTTTAGGTGGGTTTTTGTATTGGTGACTTAAACTTTAAGTTAAAGCTTAGTATTTTTTTGTCTCTCTTGTCGTTACCGTAGTATATATGACCTGATATAAGGTCTCGGGGGTGTCATTTAGGGAGGGATGTCATGTACGGTGGTATGTCATGTAGGGAGGGATGACATTTAGGAGTTGATGACATTAGGGGGATGTCGTTTAGGGAGAGATGTCATATATGGAGGGATGTCACGTAGGCAGGGATGTCATTAAGGATGGATGTCATTAAGGAGGAATGTCATTAGGGAGGGATGTCATCTAAGGAGAAATGTCATGTAAGGATGATGTCATGTAGGGAGGGATGTCGTAGGGAGGGATGTCATGTAGGGAGAGATGTCATGTAAAGAGGGATGTCATGTAAAGAGGGGATGTCAAATAAGGAGAAATGTCATGTAAGCATGATGTCATGTAGAGAGGGATGTCTTGTAGGGAGGGATGTCATTAGGAATAGATTTCATATAGGGAGGGATGTCATGTAGGCAGAAAATCGAATGTTCCAACAAAAACATATTTAAACTCTAATATGTTGAGATTTACTAGCAGATATATATATCCTCCTGGTTTTTAAGTTTTTGTGTATTTTTAGCATAAAGATCATCAGTGTAAAACGTAAGGGGAAGTAATAAATTAGACATTCTGTTAAAGGGTGGTAAGCAATAGAAGCCATCACCACAGTAGCCTACACTGGGATATATTTTTGTGTTTGTGAACAGACACACTGAGCGTAGCCAATCGTGTTAACACTTTTTTTCTGCGGCTTATTGGAACGTGAGGTTTAAAGCATAACGGTGCGTTAAGAGTTGTCCTCCCACAAACTGCGTCATGGGAGCTGCTGAGATATAGGCAAGTCTACATTGTTAATTTTGGCGTTAGATGACCCCATTTATATTCGCATAAAACTGATGAAGGTCTTACATGCAATTATTATTAACCTCAAATTTAAGAAAACATACCATGTAAACGAGAAAAAAAGCAAAAAGTTAATATTTCTGTACAATTTTTTTTAAAAACAATATACATAGACCTTAAATCTATCCACACATCTACCATGGCTTTAAGTAAAGCCCTAAAACTTAAATATATCCACACATCTACCATAGCTTTAAGCAGAGCCCTAAAGCTTAAATCTATCCACACATCTACCATAGCTTTAAGCATAGCCCTAAACCTTAAATCTATCCACACATCTACCATAGCTTTAAGCAGAGCCCTAAAACTTAAATCTATCCCCACATCAACCATAGCTTTAAGCAGAGCCCTAAAACTTAAATCTATCCCCACATCAACCATGGCTTTAAGCAGAGCCCTAAAACTTAAATCTATCCCCACATCAACCTTTAAGCAGAGCTCTAAACCTTAACCTAAAAAAATAACTAAACTGACTTGTGATTAAACCACTATATCCAGCAACAATTGAAGATACAGACTGCACACGATATTGATCCCACCACCCTCAATTACATAAGATCGATCAATCGATTCCCACTAGTGTCCATTATTTATTACGGTATTGGTGAGCGTGTTGAAGATTCTACCTTACGGTAAGATTAATACCACGTTCGTTACATAGAAGCCAAGCTCAACAAATATTTCTATCAAATAACATCAGAATAGTTTTAAAATAAACAAATATTTCAACAAACTTGGCTTGTACTGACAAATATTCTGAATCTTACTTTTGTCTTAGTACATTATAATAGCCTTTCAAGGCGTAAAGGACTTGCATATATACATATTAAGTATGGGGTAGTGTGGTGGTTTATGTATTCATCATGTTGTGTTGTATGTGATAGGGGGTGGAACAAAGCACGCTCCATAACACTTATGTGCTTATTGGAGTGGTTTGATGGATTATTTGATAACACACTTTTTTTACACTTCCTATGTAGAGTAATGTGATTCCCTTATTTCACATAGAAAGTAAAAAAAAAATATTTTGTAGTACATAATTAAGTCGTCGGTGTTGTATTAGTGTTTGTGTGTGGTGTTTGTGTGTGATGTTTGTGTGTGCTGTTTGTATATATGTATATGTGTTAATTTCAATAAACTTAAAATACTAAAATAAAATAAAAAACAGAATTTCATTGATACTTACTAAATACATGAAACACAAAGCAAATTAGCGATGTGTGTTGAATGACAGCTACTTTGTTTGAACAAAAGTAGCAGTAAAAAAACTGTTTTCTGCTACACCGCACACCCAATATATATTTCACTTTAATCAATTTACATCCTAACCTTTTGTTTTTTCACTTTCCCAAACAAACATTTCAAATCAAAAGAAGAAACAAAATAGTTAAGCAACATAATGAAGCCTACCTTAAAGCTTTGTTAAAAAATATGAAACTGTAAGGACGACGAACCTTGTGTGCATAGAGTTACATCCCTGTACGCTTCAATGTGCTTGTTGATACTCGAGACTCAAGCGACGCAATACCGTCTTCAGCTTGTCAACTGTTTTATACCTGGCCTGTTGTGTTTGCCCAAGGGGACGTAAACACGTTCAAGGGACGCAACTGAAGAATTGAAACTGCTGGGGAAAACAGACAATTTTTAAAAATAAAAAAGGAGAGCCTACTTAGAAAGTGTGTATTTTAATTTCTTTTAAACTGGAAATGATCCTTGTATGTTATGTACTGAAGGAAATGAAACATATAAGTCAAGGGCGGCACAACTTTATCAGTCACTAAAGTTGAATCTGACCTACATAAGGCTCACGGGCAAGTTAGGGGAAAAAAAAATGCGTGTGTATGGGGTGGAGTGGGGGTTATTCGGACTATAGATAACGTCACAATACACAGAAAGTACCGGTAAGTAAGATTCTGGAATGGAAAACAAATATCATAACAGACGTATGTAGAGAAAATGAGTTTAAAATAAAGAAAAGTATTAGCATCCAATTATATATATATATATATATATATATAAGTGTGTGTGTGTGTGTGTGTGTGCATGTATGCGTGTAGGCCATATTTAGCCGTAAATAAAACATTATGGAAAATCATGTGAGTGAGGTGAAGTAGAGGTGATCTGAATCTACCACCTTGCCAAATAAAATGATTTTGCCCAAATGCCCCAGCTTTCCCCGACTTTAAAATCAGGTACTTATAAAAGCTGAGTGGACTCGGGGAACACCCTCAGATTCTTATCCAGGAACTGTACATTTTTCAACTCGACATATATATATATATATATATATATATATATATATATATATATATATATATATATATATATATATATATATATAATATATATATATATAATTTTTAAAGTCGTAATGAAGTTCTAACACACTAAGACTTAGAAGTGCTACGTTTAGAGAACATGATGCCGACTCTTTTATGGAGTTGTGTCGTCGTTAGTGTGCACACTGACTTAATACTGGTGTGTTGATCTGTGAGTACACTGCCTCAGTATAAGAGACCATCAGTACTGGTGTTGTATCAATGTGTACACTGCCTCAGTACAACAGTATAAATAGTCTAGAAATGTGGATACGTGTGTATTGATGCTACGTGTGCTTGTTGCGTCTCTTGAAGGTATAGCACTCGCGTTGCTGATTATGGAACATTGTAATCTACTTAAAATTAAAATTAATTAAAAACACAACTCACAGCAACCGGAAACACAGCTAAAACCACAGATACAGAAACAACCATCAAACACAGCAACAACCACCAAACACAGCAACAACCACCAAACACAGCAACAACCACCAAACACAGCAACAACCACCAAACACAGCAACAACCATCAAACACAGCAACAACCACCAAACACAGCAACAACCATCAAACGATGAATGTGGAGATGCTCGTCCAGTGTCAATGACTTTAATTACAGTCATCTTCCTCTCAATTAGCTCTTGTGATCCAGCCAATCAGAGTAATGTGTTTGTGTGACGTAGACCCACGGAAATTTTACACACACGACGGAAATGTTGTGTTAGACCATCAAGTAGGTCTAGATGCAAATTTCGGTTTCTGGGCCAAAGCAATTTTTTTCCACCTCTTATGATGCAACAGTTAAAAACCAGAAATACTTAAGTCAAAAATACTTAAGTAAAAAATAAGTAAAGTAAAGTTCCTTTTCAAACCTGACGGTCTATAGGGCGAGTGAAGTAGAGTTCACTTGTTTATGTGACCTCGGCATTTGAAGAGATAGTGTGGTCAGCACTAAGCCCAGCCGCCTTTACTTTCCCTAACATGTGTTAGGTACCCATCTGAGTTGGGTGGACTCAGGGACGGTCTATTGACTTGAACCCGGATTCGAACTCGAGACACACGGGTTAGCAGTCCAGCTCTCTACCGCTAGACCACTCCGTCAAAAATACTTAAGTCAAAAATACTGAACTGCTAGTCATATCTTGTTGTCCTAGAGCGAAACATGCTCTGTTTGATAGCCAACTATTAAGCTATTCGAAAAGATTTTGTGTCACTGAAATAATGTTTTTTCGACTCTAAGTTACTCAAAGCAGTCCAAGGAGATGAACACAACAAAACAAAACAAAAAGAAAAGAAAATAAATACGTATTCTTCCATATATTTTCCAGTCCATCTGAAGTTTTTTTTTTTTTAATTTAACCCTCTGGGTGAGTCAGTGCAAAATCATTCTAGCGCAAAAATATCCCCCCCCCCTCCTAAAAAAAATCCAAAACAACACGACGGACACGCTGAACACGACAATGCAGCAAACGTTGGCAGATAGGATGGCTGACACCTATACTTATTTGTTACATAACATGTCATTATTAATTTACTAGCTTAACTGTAGGAATCGGCGCGAAGATATTCACTAACAAAGCCTTTCAACGTTTAATAAAACAAATATAGCTAGTATAAAAAAAAAACGCTTAAGGGCCCAATACAAATAAGCCATAGATTATTTGCGCGTTTTAAGCTTTCTAAATTTAGATCGGGATTAACCGGCTGTGTAGTTGAGACAGTTGCATGAACCATTGCCTTGTGGCAGTTCAGATAGTGGACACAGACTGGTATAGTTAACATGCTGGGCATGCTACATGCTGACCTTTGATTATTAGTGTAGTTGAGACAGTTGCACGAACCTTTGCCTTGTGGCAGTTCAGATAGTGGACACAGACTGGTATAGTTAACATGCTGGGCATGCTACATGCTGACCTTTGATTATTAGTGTAGTTGAGACAGTTGCACGAACCTTTGCCTTGTGGCAGTTCAGATAGTGGACACAGACTGGTATAGTTAACATGCTGGGCATGCTACATGCTGACCTTTGATTATTAGTGTAGTTGAGACAGTTGCATGACCTTTGCCTTGTGGCAGTTCAGATAGTGGACACAGACTGGTAGAGTTAACATGCTGACCTTCGGTTATTAGTGTAGTTGAGACAGTTGCTTGAACCTTTGCCTTGTGGCAGTTCAGATAGTGGACACAGACCGGTATAGTTAACATGCTGGGCATGCTACATACGGACCTTTGATTATTAGAGTCAAGTACTACATGTAATCTGGACACTATATCTGTAATCTGGACACTATATATGTAATCTGGACACTGTATCTGTAAGGTCTTAACAGCATTATTTGAACTTGCTCGTTTGAAAAGATGTGATTAGTAAAAAAAAACCTGTTATTTTGAAATCAATCCATACGAAATTTTTAATCACAAATTTTACCAAATTCCCGTGTATTGTTCTACTTTAGATGAGTATTATTTTATTTTATTTTTTGCCTAATTTTGTTTTTTTGTTCACAGCGTTTTTTTTTAGGTCAAGTTTAGAGAAGTGGAATTGGGAGGTTGATTGCCTTCAATTGGCAATGTTTCTTTAGTTTCGATCACGGAAATTGAGGTTCATTAAATTCTATACACCCCCCCCCCTAAATTTCCTATTTGTGGAACAAGAAAAAAACTGGCCATAATGTAGCGGCCACCGTCTGCTCGTGGTTTCTTCTGATTCCCAAATCTGCTACCTCTAGCCGGGGACCACGTGATAGTGACGTAGTTTCCCCAATTATAGACACAGGTAGGCGACACGCTGTCAGATTGTATCACATGACAGATGGGGTTGCGTGAGGAAATATTTCGAGTGAGGTGACCTGTCCGTTCTAATATCACGTGATAACGGTCAGTGACAGATCAGTGATGTATTGGTAGATGTGTGCAGGGAAAAGTTTTTGTGTAGGACACAGACGGCAACATTTTTTAGAGAAAATACACATTTTAGAACTATTTTATCTACCGGCATAAATATATTTTACACTTAACGTTAGAGTTTGGGCATGTGATTTCGATAAAATAAAAAAATAAAAATACTGCAATAAAAAATGACCAGAGTTTTCTAATATTTTTTTTAGAAACAGGTGTGTATGCCTTATAATAAGGGGGTCATCCATACATGACGTCACGCTTTGTTTTGGTGATGATTTTTACCCCTCCCCTCACTCCTCCGTCACACGTCATTACTAAAAGCCAGAACCGCCCCCCCCCCATTAAAAGACTCTCACGCCAGCCTACAACCCCAACACCTCCCGCCCCCTCAAATTATTTTTATGTGAAGTGAATCAATCAATTTCTATTTCAAATTACAAAAACTGTTTTTAAAAAAAAAACGCGAAATAACTGCAACAATTCAGTTTCTAAAATTATTTTTTTTAAATGGAAAAGTTTGTGACGTCAAACCAACTGAACACCCCCATTCCCTTCTCATCACACATTGTCACAAAATGACGGACCTCGCTCCTCCCCCCAACCCCCCCCCCTCAACGATCGTGATGTCGTTTATAGATGGCCCTTGAGAGACGCTATTCGTTCGCTAAGACGCTCTGTTAAATCAAAGAGCCGTTTTACTCGTCAAAGAGCGCCTCTGGTGTTTAGAAATTTAAAAGTTTCCGAAAAAATATACAAACCGTCCCTGGGGCAAAAACTGAAAAAGCCAGATCAATTATTAGATTCGTATTTTCTTTGGTTTGAAATGGGAAAAAAATTCCAAAAGTTTTCTGTCGTAAATAAACCGTCAACGAAACCTCCACTCGAATATTAAATTCCGCAGTTTTGGTTTCATATATGAATCACGCGGCTGTTCGCACAGAAACACTTTACAACCAGTGGTTAGATCTTATCTGTGGGGGCGTTTTTGGAAAATATATTTTGTTGAGTTAAATTATTTGCATTTAGATTCCATAAAAGTGTCAATTTACACGTAAACACATATACACACGCAGGTATGTTTGTATATATATATATATATATATATATATATATATATATATATATATATATATATATATATATATATATATATATATATATATATATATATATATATATATATATATATATGTGTGTGTGTGTGTGTTTGTGTGAGTGTGTGTGTGTGTGTGTGTTATGCATACTTATCGATAAGACTGAGACTAAACTGATGGGACTGCCCCACCCAACAAGTATCGCAGCTCTTCAGATCTTGATTGATACATGTTTCCTTTGCTCACCCATACAACCAATATTTAGG